ATCCTTAGCCTGCACTTGTTGGAACTCATTGAGCTGGCCTTCAGGCCCTTCACCCTTAACCTACATGATGCAAGGCAAGCATGAAAAAGGGTGACAGAGTGCACACCAAATTCCCAAGAATTAAACTAAGGTTTAAATAACCCACAGAGAAAAAAAAAAAAAAGATAAATAGAACAAGAACCTGACTGGTGTTGTGCCCAGGGGACCCAGTAACCGAGAGGACCGCCAGCAGCCGTACCGGGTATTAGCAGGAAAAACGTAAGTAAGCTCCTTCCTCAAAATGGTCGCTGCACGAGGAAAACCAGCCACGGCCTGTTCACAGCAGGGGGAGGGAGCTGCGTGCAACAATACACATGCGGTCTGCCCGGACGGCACACAAGAGAGCAGTAGCCTACAGGAACGGGGGCCAGCTGCTGCCCACGGGTATGGAGACATCGGGCAACCCACCCAGAGGTCACCACGCTATTGCAGGGGTGGGGAGGAGAGGTAAGGGGTCAGGCTGGGGACATAGCCTGTCCAAGAGAGACCCAAAAGGCACACCACACATCCGTACAACAAGATGCAAGTAAAAAAAAAAAAAAAAACTGAATTATAAGTACAAATATCAATAAACAGTACAAAAGATGAAGCAATAACCATAGAAAATGAATGAAAATACTTAGTTGGTCTGAGGGAGCAGCAAAGAAAGAGGGGGATCTTGGGAGACAAGCCTTTTATAGTCACTTCTTCTCTTATGTGATTGCTCTCTTATGTTACTATACAGCTTTTTCTCAATTTGATATATTTATATTCCTCTCTATCTTTGCTGCTGAGGGAATTAAAGAAAGTTATGCATAATAGGAGCCTCCGTGTCTTTAATAAAATCATACTACACTAGAGCATTCTCAGATCTGCATAATACCCAAGCATAAAAATATCAGGCATGCAATTATTTTACATAATAAATTGAGAATAACACAGATCACCTCCATGCAGTTTGGGGGCCCTGATATTGGTCAGAACCAAGACATATATGTCCAGATCTGGCCAAGATTAGTGCGTGTTTCACTTCTGAGCAGCAGCAACTGGCATTTAAAAAAAAAAAAAAAAAAGGCAACTATAATAGCTGTTGCCCAGGACTGTAGCTCCCACTAATCTCAGACACTGGCACAAGATATCCCCTTAAAGGCCCAAGATGCATATATTTTTATGCATATTAATGCGTTGGCTGTAAGTTGCACACATTTCCTAAACCTTAAAAAACTCACATCCTTTTTTGCTCAGAACTTACAACCTTGTTGGTACTGGTCATCTATCAAAATCTATCAAATGCTTCTCATACAGAAGCACTGAGGAAATATTTCTAGTCTAAAAACATTTAATAGCGATAGATTGTGTCACTGAAATTTAGGAATGCTTATTAAAAAATAAAAAAAATTGAATATATATATATATATATATATATATATATACACACACACACACACACATACATACATACATACATACATACATACATACATACACACACAAGGAATGTATAAGTGCTGTTTTTAAAATAATTTATTTTTTATATGAGATCTGTCGGAAAAAAGTTTAGCCCTTGTTAATATAAATCAGAACGGTTTACGTAACATCGATGTAACCTCGCAGTCAAAGAGAGTGGACTGGAATGTGCATGGGTGAACAATGACAACTTCACTGTACTAGTCAGTGGGGGGGCAAGGTGCCAGTGAGCAAGCGTACCGTGTAGCCATCACTTTCCAAATGACTGAGCAAGTGGAGCAATGAAACCGCATCAAACTTTGCGTTAAACTTAACATTCCTCCTCAGAATCTATTTGTAAGATTCAGAAGGCTTGTGGGGATGATGCAATGAGTGCAGCGCAAATAAAAGTGTGTCACAAATGCTTCAAACATGGTCGAGAATCTGTTGAAAGATTTGGCGCTCTGCGACTTCTGGCTTTTCCCCAAAACTAAAAATCACCTTTGAAAGGGGAAAGATTATATATGCACCCAACGAGCCGACCTAGGAATTCTGGGATCGAATCAACAACAAACTAGAACAGTTACCACACGGTCATCACTGTGTGCCGGGTCACATGATCAGGTGCAACAGACATATGGAAGCTGCTCTGGAGCGTGGAGCGTCAGACACACTGCCAGTCTGGAGACAGGGACCAGATGACGCTGCTCGCTGTGATGAGGTAAGCAAGGTGACCTGCGTGGTGCGGGGGCAGGGGACCGAACAATAAGAAATTTAGAGACAAACTGATACATCTGACATGTCAATAGCCAACATAGTGTTACTCCCGAAGCCGGGGGAAGGACACCTCTCTACCAGAAAACTTCAGACCAATATCTCTAATAAACCATGATGCCAAAATACTAGCAAAGTATTAGCGGAATGACTATCCCCACCTACTTACTGAACTGATACACGCAGACCAGGTGAGCTTCATGCTAGGGCGCCAGTTATTGGAAAACACTAGACGAAACCTAATGTGGAAATAGGCCTCCACACAAACACCAACACTTCTACTATCCCTAGATGCCAAAAAGACTTTCAACAGGGTAAAATGGCCTTACCTATTTAAACTGCTAACACACATACAATTCCCAGAGACGTACATCACAACTATGTATACCACAACTATGTATCAGAGCTATGTATACCAACATCAGGGCACAAATCAGAACTACAAGAGTTCCTAATACACCCTTCACACTAAGCAACGGAACACGACAGATGCCCACTCTCCCCGCTACTGTTCGCGATTTCCCTGGAACCGCTGCTTCAAGCTACACACACGAACCAAGAGATACAGGGCATAACAGTGGGCAGAAAGTGATTTAAGGTGTCGAGCTATGCAGATTATGTTCTGCTGACCCTCACCCACCCAAAGAAAATCAATGGAAGCAGTAGCAGAAGAACTAATGGCATATGGGGAGCTCTTGGGTTACAAGGTGAACCTGAACAAATCTAGTGCACTCCCACTCGGCGGCAGATGCGACACACATCGGGGACAAATACTGTATACACATAGCTCTATAAAATATTTGGGCATCCAGCTGACAGCAAACACCAAGATGATGTACACTACTAATTACATACCCCTCTTCAAGATCCTACTGGGGGACCTAGATAGGTGGGTAGACAAGCCAATCTTCTTGATTGGGAGGGTCAATATACTGCCCAGATTGTTCTATTTCCAAGCTCTACCGATTTCAATCACCAAATCTGATCTAGCACCCCTACAAAAGCAATTGGAGATTTTATTTGGCAAAACAAGAGGCACAGAGTCTCTCGTTACGTCTTATACAGACCTAAAACAGAGGGCGGCCTGGGCCTACCTAACATATAATATTACTAACTAGCAGCTACTACCAGGCCAAGTCTGGCCATTGACCTAACTGGGCAAATGTTAGAAGGATGCTAAAACGTAACTTTTAATGAGACAAAAGATAAAAAGTTCTATTGGTGGTGCCACCGTCTCAAACCAATGTCATAAGTAAGTGCTTGAAAATGAAAAGCAAGCACTTATAGGGGTATAGCAAGCCTACGTACTAAAATATGAGAATATATATATGAAATTTTCGTGTAGTGGGCACTTATTAATACCCTGCAATAATAGGGACAAAAATAGCCCTCTAGTGGTCAGTTAAATGCCTTGTTCCCCATGATAAATGACAAGAAAAATAAAACCAAGAGTAGTCTATATTGGACCATCAACTAAACAGAGCTCTTGACTGTAAAAAAAAATTTTTTAAAAGTGTAATCACTGTATTGGTATAATCCCAGGTTAGGTAGCCTCTAGGGCTAAGCCTCTGCTTAAGAAGCATAGCATTGTCCAAAATGTCTTGGTATGCTGAAGCATTCAGATTTCCCTCCACTGGAAGCACCTGAAAACCATTATCATTTTCCATCCTCCACCAAACTTTACAGTGGGCACAATGCAGTCAGGCACTACTGGCATCTGCCAAACTCAGGCTCGCCATCAGATTGCCAAACAAAGAAAAATGATTTGTCACCCCACAGAACACTTTTCCACTACTTTAGAGTCCAGTGGAGGCGTACTTTACACCACTTGTTCCAATGCTCGCCACTGTACATGGTGATGTTAGGCTTGCATGCAGCTGCTTGGCCATGGAAAACCATTCCATAAAGTTCCCGTCACACAGCTTTTGAGTTGATATTAATGCCAGTGAAAATTTGGAACTCTTTAGCTATGGAATCAGCAGAGTGTTGGTGACTTTAACACACCCGCTCTTTGACTTTACATGGTCTTACCGATCGTGACTGATCTGCGGCTGTTCCTAAACACGTCCGTTTTCCAATAATATCACTTACAGTTGACTGTGGAATATCAAACATGGATGAAATTTCGCAGACTAACTTATTACAAAGGTGGCATCCTATCACCAATTCACTGAGCTCCTCAGAACAACGCATTCTTTTCACAAATGTTTGTAATTGTAGAACTCATGGCTAGATGTCTGATTTTATACACCTGTGACAATGAGACTGATTGAAATACCTGAATTCAATAATTAAGAGGTGTGTCCCGATACTTTTGTCCATATAGTGTATGTTGGCTGGTACTTTGAGAGAACACTAATCCTAAACTAAAAATATACAACCAAGCAGTGTTTCTTTTATTTTAATCCAATGTATAGAGAGCTGCTGCTCTATACAAAATATATATTTGGCGGTTTTGTTTTTGTTTTTATTATTTTATTCACATGCAATTTGTGTAAAGTTAGTGACTAGTACTGATGATTTTCTACATTCAATATGGTAAATAATCTTGCATTTATTGCCATGAGGAAAGATTATCAAATCTCACATTCCCAGGGAACCTTCACTATGAATTCAGACTGCTTCCCTGTAAAATGTTACTTTAATAAGATCCTTTAATTAAAGGGGCAGTAAAATGATTATCCTGCACCAGCCATTCCATGCAGCAAACTCTCCAGCTTTAGGACCCAGGCGAGCCCCGTCCTGCCTCCCACTAGGATACACCTGTTTGGATGCTTGATGAATGTCCCATGAGTCCGCCTTCTCCAAGCAGGTAACGCTTTGTCTTTTCTTGTTCTCCTATTATATATATTTTTTTGCTCCTCCTGTGAGCTGAATACGCCAACCTCCTTCATGCACTAACACTAGATCATTTCCTGAATGACTTAAGTGTGGTTAAGATCAGCAGCAGTGTGAGAGGTAACTGACAGCCCAGACACTTGTTACTCTGCAAGTTCCTCTGTCATTTCCGTGTCTCCTCTAGATATATCGCCCAGATCCATCCATTTCACCTTGTCCCATCATCTGGGCTGTCTGCATACCTGCCTCACTCCCACTGCCCCCCAAGTGCCTCTAAGCTGAAGACAAAAGGTAAGATGACCCTCACCTATTACCTCATTGCTTCCTTGTTCTAACAGTGGCTTTAGCTCGAAAACATGCAAATTTAACCTCTTTACTTCCTGAGAAGATTGCAATATTTTTTATGTTCTTCCTTTTCTGGTAGTTTTTGAAGCTGATATTTACAGATGCAAATTAAACACATGACAATCTGTCACTGGGGAAAAAGAAATTTAAAAAAATCGCACTTGTGTAAACTGTAAAATTAATAAAAGCTGGATTTGTCTTTATATTTGACTGTTATCCTGCTCTGTGTCAGTGTGATTTATGGAGTGTGTTCTTTTGATTTAATGAAAAGTTACCTTGTGTCATTTATTAAGCGAGATCTCTTCAATTTATAGCGAGATACTAAATGACCTGTTTGGGAGGGTACTGACGGACTGTGATACACAGTATCTGCTTTGGAAGTTTAGTTGGAGGAGATCAGGCAGTTAGTGTGTCTTTATAGACAGTTATTAAGCATAGCGTTTTTATATTTTATTGTAGTGTGTTATAATTATAGTAGGAGTGCGGGGGTTGGGTCAGGTGTGCTTTCTGTTTTCTGCTGTTATTTGGGAAGTGTGTAGTGTACCAGCATGAATTTACACACGACACGAACTATGTACAGGTGGGGAGTACCTCAAATACGTGTGAGTTTGTATAATACTTTAACATTACTTGCATGGCTTATGTAGTGCAGCTTGCTAACATACTAATTGAGAGCCCTGGGTTATTAAATACCTTTTTGTAGAACTGGTTACAGTTGTGTATGTATATTAGCCACTTATTTATTGTTTTTATTTCTTTCTAATTATTTTCATTTTTCTTTGTACTGTCTGCATAGAAAATAATGTTTGAGGGGGGTAGGGGTGTGCAGTTGTACAGTAAGGCACCCCTGCTGGATGTACACCCCTCTTCTCTTTTATCTGTGACATGACCATTGTGTAAAGCTATGCAAGTTTTCTTTACAAACAGGTAATCTCTTTAAATGTGACTGATAGCCAGGTGCAGTGCTGGCTAACCTTTGCTATTGCTGCTGTTCTGGACCACTTGACTCCATGATATTCAGAATTCTGGAAAATGCAATCTAGTATTACCTGAAACAACTTTCTGATATTAAGTATAGGATGCATCCCTGGTGCCTAGAAGTGGTTATGATGAACCCTTTGATTCTTCAGCAAAGATTCACTGTTTGCAGGAATTTACAATCACAAAGGAGGACAATCAATTCAATTATATTCATACATTTGCAAAGAAATATGTTGTTCACTGAGGTTTAAAAAAAATAAAATAAAATAAAAATAAAAAAAAAAAAATATATATATATATATATATATATATATAATTTTTTTTTTTTTTATTGAAATATAAAAAGCATACAGTGTGGTTAAACTGTTGGATGTTTTTGTGTTTAAATAATAAAATAAGGGATATGCAAACCTATACTTACAATGTTTTTACTACATAAAGAAACCTGGGGATATTGGCTGTAGGGTAGTCCCTTCTCGGTTTGTTGGCGCTATGGCAACCAGTGCATTCTGCTTTGCAAATTTGCTGAGATCTCCTTGATGTTCACGGTGGTTAGATTCCAACTGACTTCAATAGGGAGTCGAGCTTGCAGTCGATCCTGTCTTCAGCTACTTGCCATGGGCTTTCTATGGGCTTGCTGTTAAACTTGGCAAGATTCCATCAGGCTGAGAGACTGTGCCAAGTCAGAATGAGCAGGGCCTGTGCATCTCCAGTGGGAATACCTGAGAATAAATCTGGTCGTTTACGGTTAGATGTGTCCATAGAGCTGTCCAGCAAATTACATTGTTTATAAAGCTGCTTTCGTGTGGGTTTTATTAAAACATTATACATCATAATGCAGCTCAAAATCATATTAATGTTATATAGCATCAGCAAATGCTGCAGCGCTGTACAATGGGTGGACTAATAGATACATAATTGTAGCCAGACAAGTTGGACACACAGGAACAGAAGGGTTGAGGGCCCTGCTCAATGAGCATACATGCTAGAGGGAGTGGGGCACAAAAGGTAAAGGTATATAGCTTGACCCATTCATTTATTATCATTCATATAGCACCAAGATATTCTCAGCGCTTTACAATTATAAAATGGGGATAGTTTACAACAAATAAGTTTACATACAGAATATGATAAGAAGGCCCTGCTAAAACGAGCTTACAAGTCATTCACATGGAATTATGTGCACCTTATATCATAAAGCACATAGTGTGTTGGTCAATAAGGGGTTAAATTTTAACTTGGCAGTTGAGGTTGTGTGTATGGGTTTAAAAAAAAAAAAATTAATATAATTTATTTCAATCCTAAATGTCTTATGTTTGTAGAAGAAATATGGTAAAACACAGCGTAGTCTCTGTCCTCACACTTTTATATAATGCAGTGCCTTACTCTGTGTCTCCTTGCTCAGGGGAAACACAGAAGTATAACAGAAAATGCTTTGCTGATCCCAGGTAAGAAAGGGGCGAGGGATAAGAGAAAACATACATTTTTGATTATTGTACACAGGGCCGCCACCAGAAATTTTGGGGCCCCTAACTCAGCTCAGGGTCTGGGCCCCCTTGGGCCCGCCTCCAATCCCGCCCACAGGAATACACACACACACACACACTGATACAAAAGGACACACATACTGAGACATATACAGACACACAGGCATACATAGTGACAGACAGACACATACTAACATACATACAGACACACATGCATGAGGACATACAGACACCTACAGACAGACAGACATGCATACAGACACTGACATACATACATGCATTCATAATGACATCCATACACGCTGGGACTGGGTGGCAGTGTTCCCTGGTGGTCCTCGTGGGTGAGTGAACTCTAGCCTATGAGACTAGAGTTCACTCTCGCGAGATCTGGTCGTTGCCATGGCAACGCGCCAGATCTCGCGAGAGGAACCCGGCGGAGCTGCAAGTTAGAGCTCCGCCGGGTCCTCCTCTCCTGGCGGCTGTCTGTCTCCCTCCCTCTTTGATCTCCCCACAGGCCCGTCTTGGCAAACGGCGGGGCCGGCGCTAGGAGAGTGCAGGGGAGATCCTGGGGCCTCGGCCCATGGTCACCGTGGCCCACCGGGCATTTGCTCGGTGTGCCCGATGGCCAGTCCGGGCCTGTCCATACATATATACATACATACACAGAGCTAATTTTTCAGCCACCCTCCTGTCTCTTACCTTTTCTTTGCAGGAGGGTGGCTGCGGCTGATAGGATTCGGCGCGGGTGTCCCTCTTCATGGCCTGATTGGTGCTCGTCCCGCACTTGCTGCGTTTTTTTTTTTTTAAAGGGGCCCTGTTGTGCTATTACATGGCCACAGCGCTGACCGGGCCCCTGAAGATATAGGGCCCTAAGTGCGTGGGCCACCCGATAGACATGAGTTTCTAAGTTTGAATGCTGTGATAGACAACTAATGCCTGAATGAAAACTGCCATGACAGATCAGATGCCGTCTTTCCTGTGGTTTCAGATTTGGTGGAAAAAGGGTCTATATGATGCCCTTTCCCCTTTTTTTATATATATATATATATATATATCTATTTTTATATATTATATTGTATCTATCTCTTGGTCCCTCCGCTCTTCCCATGACTTCTCCTGTTCACTGCTCATACCCGTATGGCCAACTCACGCTTGCAGGACTTCTCATGGGTGGCCCCCTTCTTATGAAATATCCTGCCTACCGCCATCAGAATCTCCCCTAGTCTTCAATCGTTTAAAAAGTGCCTGTAAACCCATCTCTTTAGGAAAGCTTATGGCCTCCCAGAGTAGCCTCTACCTCACATACCTGTCTCTTGCTCTCTCCTAAAGGGCAGCACTCTACTCTCTCCTCCAGCTCTGCTTCACTCCCACCTTATTTGTTTGCTATTTCCTGTCCTAATGTGTCTTATACCCCACCTCCTATAGACTGTAAGCTCGTTTTGACAGGGTCCCCTTCTACCTATCGTTCTTGTAAGTTTTCTTGTAATTGTCCTATTAAAGGACCACTATAGTGCCAGGAAAACATACCCTCAGGGTTCCCCTCCCGCCGGGCTCTGGAGAGAGGAAGGGGTTAAACACTTACCTTTCTCCAGCACCGGGCGGGGAGCTGTACTCCTCCTCTCCTCCTTGCTCGCGACGTCATTGGCTGAATGCGCATGCGCAGCAGGAGCCGCGCGTGCATTCAGCCGGTCGCATAGGAAAGCATTTACAATGCTTTCCTATGGACGCTTGCGTGCTCTCACTGTGATTTTCACAGTGAGAAGCACGCAAGCGCCTCTAGCGGCTGTCAATGAGACAGCCACTAGAGGCTCTGGAGGCTGGATTAACCCTCCGTATAAACATAGCAGTTTCTCTGAAACTGCTATGTTTATAAAAAAAGGGTTAATCCTAAAGGTACCTGGCACCCAGACCACTTCATTAAGCTGAAGTGGTCTGGGTGCCTAGAGTGGTCCTTTAATAGTTAAATCCCCCTCTTCTAATATTGTAAAACGCTACAGAATATGTTGGCGCTATATAAATGGCAATAATAATATCGGTGATGCTACTTGAACTCATATCAGGTTTACTTAGAGCTGCCAAAGACCTACTGAAATAGCGATGCACATACTACACTACACACAGATCTATAAATACAAACACAAACCTAACTGCTTGGAGCTTCTACATGCCAGACAATACACTGAGCCCAACATCACTGAAAATAAATTTCTCCATAATGTGAAGTGTTTATACAACTATATCATAGAGTTCCACAGATATAAAACTCAGTGACGTGCTATGTAAGTTAATGTATTGCAGGTCCGTAGCTCACCCTAAACCGCAATAAAACTAACATGTTTATTCTTTCATACTCTATATCTGTTTATGAACTTCCCTTAATGACTGACCACCACCTTTAGTTTAGTGGGCCTCCCTGTATGTGGATTACTATTTCCACTATGAGTGTGAGTGTGAGTGTGTGTGTGTGTGTGTGTGTGTGTTCGTTCAGGTTCAGCCTAACCACACCATTTTTGTATTTTTTTTTTTTTTTTTTTGGCTGAACTCGTTCACTGAGAGCTGGGACTGCAAGAAAGCATTTTAACCCCTTAATAACACATAACATGTGTGACATGTCATGATTCCCTTTTATTCCAGAAGTTTGGTCCTTAAGGGGTTAAAGTGATTTGCAGAGATTCAGACTGCACTCCACCACTACCACCCTCTATCAGCATTAACATGACTTAATTTTTATTTAATATATTGCTGAGCAGCTAATATTGAATAAAAATTACACTGCAGTTTTTCAAGGAGGGACACATAGGGGAGCGATGAGCAGAGAGGCTACCAGGCCCACTGTAGCAAAAAAGCGAAATAGACAGGAATCTTAATCACTACAGAAACAAGAATTATGCCGTTAACTAAAGGATTGGCATCCTGAAACTAGGTTTAATTTAACCTAAATCTATCGCACATGTTTATTCAGGCTAAATGCACGTTAACCTCCTTTAGAGCAAGGGGCTTTGACCAGTCTCTCCCCTGCTTTTAAAGTGCCAATGGTCATTTTTGGTTTGGATTTAGTTGTGATAAGCAGCCATGACCTGGGAACTGTGAGATGGTGGCACAGTACGTAATGTCAGTATAGTTGTGTACATCAATCTGCATTTATTTTATTAATTCTGGACTCTCAAACAAATCCAGATGTGTAGACTCAGACAGTGATAGAAAATCTCTTCAACTATTTAGAACTTGCCACAACTCGCATTCCAGTGATTTACTCCTTTTGTATCACTTTGTAGTGGGTATAAAAAAAATATATATTTTACCATTCCATTATAAATGCGTAAGTTTCACACTTACTTTATCTCTGTTTTGGCCTCCTCTTCTGATGTATGTAAAATGGATGTTCCCATTCTGCATTAGATATATCAGTCCTGTCCCTATTTGGGAAAATTGGCGGAGGGTGCCAGATGATCTCAGGCCATGAATATTGTACAAAGATGACATCACTAATATGAAAATGGAAAATGTAGCATTTGCTATTTTGGAAATGGAGGCCGGACCAGAGCGGTCTTGGGCACCCAGAGCTGTTTCACATCCTTTGAAAACAGTTTGACTACTTACCATGGGACAACGCCAAGGCAATCCAGTTACAATAAATACGTTGGTGTATTTTAGGGGTTATGGAGCCTAACTTTATATTGTTTATTACATTTTTAATAAATCTCTAATTCAGACATGCTTCCAGTTCAGCTACTTTCACATTTAAATTAGAAATTCACCTTAAATTCTCACTTTAATGTATAACACTGTATATATCATTTAAAACCCTGTAACACTCTATAACACAAACACGAATATGAACAGAATTAAATCACAATGATGAGTAAATAAACATACTAGCATTTCTATTTTTCCATTGTCAATGACATGACACCACCATACAAGCACACTGGCACACCATTATCAAGAACATTTCTGCAGGTATGTGTAATAGGAGTGTCACTTTGCAATAATTTGTATCATATGGCTTTCCTCATGTCACAAATTGATTGAATGACTGCCTCGGTGGTCATTCCAACTCAGGGAAGACCACACAGGAAGAACTGCTAAAGCACTCTCTGGGGCCAGGTTTCTCAACCTGTGATACGCATTCCCCAGGGGGTACACACAAGAATAGCTAAAGGTAACCCAAGAGTTAATAAACTGTTTGCCTTAGTGCCCCCCAGGAGGCTGCCAGCCTAAAGCAGGGTAGCACCTGGAAGACTGTAGCCGGGCGGCGATGGAGCTGTAATCGCTATGCTCTTCCAGCATTGGTCCCTCACATGCTGTCCAGTGATGCAGAGAGACGGGTTATGACATCACTATCATTAAATGGCGCACGAGGGAGCAGAGCAAGAAGACCATGAAGATGACCGCATCCACACTAGACCCTAGTCGAAAGATCCACTCCTGATCTCACAAAATTAGGGAGACTGGTTGGACTTAAATACATATTTTGTGTGTGAGTGAAAGAATGTGTATATAAGTGTCAAATCAGCAAGTGACACATTGTTCTCTGTATGTCAGTGTCTTGTGTGTCTGTCATTGTCCTCTGTGTGACACTATTATGTATGTTTTCATTTTATGACACTTTTTTTTTTAATATTTCAGTTTAATAGTTAATAGATTTCTCCTTACATACTCCATATTCACATCATATCCTATTTATTTAAAATATATTTTTTACTAACTTTTATAAGGCTTGTTCTCAAAAATGCGATTGACTTAAATATCAGTGTCTACACTCTTCATTTGGAATTTAAATCAATAGAAATTACGTTCTTAAGGCAGGGGTACTCAGGAACTTTTTGTTAGACCTGCAGGAGTTCTTTTCCGTTAAGGTTTGGGAAACACTATTTGGCACAGCACTAGTTTTTCCTAATACACTCTGCTCTTGCGAAAGATCTGCTGTCCCAAAATGCAGGAGGCCATATTTGAGAGGATCCTGTCCTGGGACTGATGGCAGGTATTACTTCCTTGTAAACTTGGAGAGTGACACTATGTTTGGATTCTGGGACTGCAGCTGCTAGGACAGAAAGAGGCACCCTTCGGCACTCCAGATGTTGTGGACTACATCCCCTATAATGCTCTTGTTTATAATGCTGGCAAAGCATCATGGGAGGTGTAGTCTAAAACATCTGGAGTGCCGAATGTTGACTGCCTGTGCTAGGACATTAAGCTGATACCCTGCATCTAGGGCTTTGAACATTTTTGTAGAAAACTGGACCTTTTTTAATAATTATTTATTATCATATTATTTTTATTCTCAACCAATCCATTATTCTTATTACACCTTCTCTTTCCATTATGTAAGTACCTTTGCTCAGAGACGTCTTTGAGACTTGACCAGGGAAAATCCTAAAACGGGCAACCCCCTGCCGCACATGTTGATTCCTTCTGGAACTACAGAGTGGGTGCTGTCACGAACGCACCCTACTTCAAAAGGGTGCGTGATGTAGGTATGGTGGTGAAAGGGTTAGAGCTCACTATTTGTCTGTACTAGACTGAAAAATAATTACAAATAATTACAAAATCCCCCCCCTTAACACCAAACACACTTAAACATAATATAACTGTTACTATTTTAACACTGCCACCACCAAGACAATTTTATAAATGGGGTGCTTTGGCCCCCCCAGGTAAATCAATAAGAAAAACCCACTGAATACAACTTTATTTAAGGAATTGCAAATATAGTAATTAGTCTCGTCAGATAATGTAATTCTTAACGGGACAAAGGCAGAATTTAATAAAGGAATATTTATTATGAGCAAAAAAATAGTCACAATGCATACAAACATATAGATGACAATCAAAATTATTTACATTACCCCTTCTGTCATCTGACCTTTCATACAATCAAATTAACCCCTTTTGACTTTGACAATATTCCATCTCTACCAGGCAGGCACTACCCAGATTACAGTAAATGATAATATTCCATAGTGCAATAACAAAAGATGCACCCTGAGCGTGACAGGTGCCACCATTAAAGATTATATTTCTGTAATCGCCTCTTTCTTTCTAAACAAGAAGAGCCGAGATGGGCAGGTGGCCTCAAAGATGCAAGGGATGAAAATAGTAACATTTACTAGTGCTTTATGCCCAGCAAATATGCATGTGATGTAAGAAAATGAATGCAAATCCAACGACATTTATATGAACTTTTTTTTTTTTTGCTTGGAAAAATACATAAACTGTTATCATATTAACGTTGATCCCATGGGTTTCAGGCCCAGTTGCTTGTGTTTATTTTTAAACTGTATTTAGGGTCTGATCCACCATGCTTTTTGGGCTTGTATTACTTCACCATGCTGTATAGTGGTCTATGAAAGGTGATGCCATGCAGTAAATAAAATTATTGCATTTTAAGAAGTCACTCCTAGAATAATAGAAATTCTGCAGGGTAGCACTTCTCATAAACTGCCTTGTAGCCTGTAGAAGCAATATGTGTCCATGGATGGAAAACAAATGGTGGATCTGGCAACACCTCTCTCTAGTTGGGATAGCCTAAATTATAAATACATCACTGCTCAAAGGGATTCTACAGTGTTAGGAATACAAAAGTAGTGCCCTCCACCCCCTCCAGCATTTAAAGGGGAAAAAAGAAAGGAGAAAAAAAACAACTATTAAAAAATATATATATATATATATATATATATATATATATATATATATATATATATATATATATATATATATATATATATATATATAATATTATATTTTATTTTTTATTTTTTATTTTTTTTAATTTTTTTTATTTTTTCTCTCTCGATTCCAGCACCAATGTCCTATGGTGTTGGGTTGACCCTTCGCTTCCTCAGACGTCATTGACATTCCATGGGACTGCCACATAATGGACAATCCTTTAAAAATAAATAAATAATTTGATGTTAGGAATATGTGAAATAATCCTAAATCTCAAATTGTGTGACATTCATAGAATAATCATTTTTTTTTTTTTTTGTCCTCTATTGTATTTTAAAAAGCTTTGCTGACTATATTATCTCCCAGTACATTTCTTATGAAATCCCTTTGGCTAAATTGATAAACTATGTTTTATTTTCTGCTGACATTTTGAATATTTGCTTCTTGGTTTCTCTTTGATACATATTTAAGATGTGATACCGTTGTTCTTTAAATACAATTTGCCTTGATCATTGTTTTATGATGGATCATTTGCAACTGTTTCATACTTGTTTGTCTGTGCCAGTTGCTGCAGGCAGTTTTTAGGTGTCTTAAAGGTTTTTTTTTTTGGATAGCTATTAAAGTGTTGACCTAATCTTTGCGTGTAATTACAAGTGCACTGGTATCTAGATTGTTTCAGAATGCCACGTCATATATTAGACATGTTATAATTGACATTGATGCTGCTCAGAATAACCTTCATAGTTGACATCAGCACTTTTTCATTTTATTAATCCTGATGTTTAAGTGAAAATAAATAAAAGGAAAAAATGATATTTTCATGCTTATGTCAATAGTTTAATCTGACAATGGTTTCATTTTTACACTACAGTGAGTTGACATTAGAAGGGCTTATCTCTTGGTCTGTTAATTGCAATTTAATCATACATAGGAGGCTGCTCCTGGCAGGCTATTAAAAGAGCAAGAGGCAAAGACTTCTTAAAAAAACACCATAAAAATAAAGGAAGCTAAACAATTTCGGTTCATTTTCAGGAAGTGTGTAAGGAGGCTGTGTGAGTCTTTATAAGGGTGTGCGTGTGGTTAGGGCTGCATAAACAGCCTTTAGTAAGTAACCATGAGAGTGTGTGGGTTTTTTTATTTTTTTAAATATATATATTGTCATACTTTTCCAGTTAAAATATCAGCATGCAGGAAGTTGACTGAATTTAGTACAAATCGATAAATGTCACTGACTAATAATTTTCCACCTTTTGTAGAAAACTCTTATATTGTGGTGGCTGGTAAGACCTTATTTGAATATTTGTGGGAGCCTGAATAAGGAGTTATATGGAAATAAGATCAGTGTCATTATGCGCACTTTGTGATGTGATCAAAATGCACAAGTACTAATGCCCATGGAAATAGTTTTGTGTTTGTGAAAATAATCTGTTTTATCTGGTTCCTGTGTGGAAAAGGTACTGGGTGTGGATAGTACTCTCTTTCTCTCCAGGAAAGGTTAAAGGATCTTAACAGTATAGCTTGGAGGAAAGACGAGACAGGGGGGATATGATAGAAACATTCAAATACATAAAGGGAATCAACACAGTAAAGAAGGAGACTATATTTAAAAGAAGAAAAACTACCACAACAAGAGGACATAGTCTTAAATTAGAGGGGCAAAGCTTTTAAAATAATATCAGGAAGTATTACTTTACTGAGAGGGTAGTGGATGCATGGACTAGCCTTCCAGCTGAAGTGGTAGAGGTTAACACAGTAAAGGAGTTTAAGCATGCGTGGGATAGGCATAAGGCTATCCTAACTATAAGATAAGGCCAGGGACTAATGAAAGTATTTAGAAAATTGGACAGACTAGATGGGCCGAATGGTTCTTATCTGCCGTCACATTCTATGTTTCTACGTAAGTAATATAAATTTTTTTTAATATATTTATTTATTTTGGCTCTGTATTTTACAGCCCTATAATTGTTTGGTTTTCTGTAAAAAAACATGTCTGTAATTACACTAATTTCTGGGTGTGTTTCCTGAGGCTCCTAAGGAAGATTATTACTTACCTAGTCCGCAAGCCATTATTTTTGCTAGCACAGATATTCTTGATAACTTATACCATAATTCTAGGCTTAAAGGCGTGTCTGTGCTATATAGATAAACAAGGACTTCTGCTATTTATTTAAAGTGACATTATTACTTGTGGGCATTTTTAGCATAGACTCAGCAAGGTGATGGGTGGGTGGGGATTGAGCAGATTAGCCTATATACCATTTTATAGGGACACTCCACTGGCCAAATACATCATCATTAAAAACGACTGTTTAGTGGATATATCCCATGTACAAACATGCAGCTCAACGATAAGTCTGCCTCTTGCGTTTAACTTCACGGAGTTAAATAACCAGATATTAACTGGACCTGTAGCTAAGTAACATTGGGGATTGGGGGAGGACACATTCTTCACACTTAAAGCACTTCAGTAAGCTAAATTGCCTATAGGTGTTTGGAGTGTTTATTTAAGATGTCCTTTAGCACCACCATCTTGTTGTCTCCTTGCTTCATCCTTGGCATCTTCATTTATTAATGTGGAACAGTCATCGACTGGGAACTTTGTATTATCTGCAAACACCCACGATACTGACATTGCCGCTGAGGGGGGCAGGCACAAGTGAGTTTTTATTTATTTATTTATTTATTTATTTTACTTAACGGAGTCTGAACCTGTCCTTCACGGGCCCACCATTGCCTTCTGCCTGGTCCTCATCTGCTTCTGGCACTTCAGCTGCCATAGATTGATGGCACTGTGACACTTGTCAAGTGTACAAAACATTGTCCCTCTAGATCCTCCATAGATAGAGCCACTTCTTGATGGCGGTAGCTCTGCCCAGGGTCACGTGAAGGAAAAATACTTGAAATAGTCCCTTTCGCCTGCCGCACTAGACAACCAACGACGATGTGACCGTCTGGGGTCTTTGTAAATTATACAAAGTCGATTGGGACAGTTCCACTTAATAAATGTGGTCAAAGAGGTTTTCGCAAAAAAACCTTGTATCTGTGATGAAACTCCTAGCAGGAACTGGATTTTAACTTTATGAAATACTATTTTGCAAGGTAGTGATATTGGGGGCAGTGCTACTTTAAAGGAACACTCCAAACTCCTTAAGCAGTTGTTTTGCTTTTATTTTATAAGGTTCAAGGATGCAGGATATGTCTCCAATTGTGTGTAAAAGAACAAGTTACTTTATTAAGGACAAAACCGTATAATATTTATAATAACACGTTATTAAGGATATTATAGGTAATCTTTCTAATTACTATAATTTTACAAGAATAAATTAATGCATCACAGATTTAATCTATTGTAGAACTACATCTAGTCAAACACACTCACAGCCGGTAAGCCCCGTTTTTTCAGCCTTGGTCTAGAGTCCCATATTAATCAGGAAAGTCACTGCGCGATGCGTCCACCCACAGTAGAAGCTTCTGACAAAACTTTAAAAAAAAAACAGCTAGTTTATGCAAGTGGCAAGTGCATTTCATACATGCAAGAGTGCAGCTACTCAAAAATACAAGACATCATCACCTTGGAGAGAGTGATTAGACACCTGCACTTTGTTTGGAAGATCATGGAACTCTGGCAGTGTGCCCAGGAAAATTCAAAATCATAGGATACTAAATATCGTTAGAAAGCTCTAGCTACCATATTTTTCTGTCACACGGGATGTCACTGTAGGTGTTAAAACACAAAATAAACCATTTGTGTGCAGGGGCCTGACAGCCAACCAAGCTAGTCACAAGTGGCTGGAGCACCTTCAAAAATCTAATTATTAAGCCAAATACTTTTGGTACTTACTCAACACAATGCTGCAGGGTGAGGCCTTGCCCGAACATCCCCTGTAGGGTACCACTGGCTCTGGGCATTGTTGACGCCAACAGCAGGACAGCGGTCCAGGGAACCAGTGTCCGTGTGTGTTGCCTGACCTCGGGGATCGGCTTATCAGAGTGTGAGAGACCTGGGACCGGTGAGGGATCCTGATCAGCCAAACTGGACTTCAGTGCTATAGATGTTTAAAATATTTATTTCTTAATTTTGGGCTTAAAAAAAATAATAAAAAAAATAGGGGTCGTCTTATACATGGGGGTTTCTTATACACTGGGAAAAATACAGTATATCCATTCAGTTAGCAATACAGCACTTCATCTTGGTAAAGTCATTTAGGGACTAGCAGAGTGTCCCCTCTTTTTTATAACTATAGTTAACGGTAACTGTCTAACTGTAGGTGGCAAACCCCAGATGTTTTGGACAGGATGCACATTTACTCCCTGTGACTGTCACAAATTCTAAGGGGTAGCGTAGATTTATGTGGCAGAGGTCAGAGAAAAAAAATAAACTGAAACCACTCTGTGGGGAATTTATTTTCCATCAAATTGCAATAAATTGCCTGCTTATGTTGAACATCAGTTTCTATAATACTCAGTGAAATTCCCAGAATTGGCTACATAAACAAAACAAAATCACCCTAAACCTTTTACTGGAGAAGTCTAAAAATGTTTATTTGTATATAATTCACAGTAACTGTAATAGTTAGCTTACGAGGAATATCTAAACAAATGTGTTTAAATCTTTATTAGTATTCAATGAAAATCTATCCCTTTAAGTTTAAGTGCACTTGAGAAAATTTGAAGACACCGTTAAAAACAAAAAAACCCACAAAATAAAGAAAAAGAATCAGATGGAAAAAGCATACACCTCTAGAGAGACAAGTGATTATGTCTGAGGCTGGTGTGAGTTAAAATATACCGATCATGCTATGGGATAAAGAGGGAACCACTTTCTAAATGGATTATGGGGAAAATAAACTTCTCGGTCGACCTCATGAACCTAAAGCCTTTTAGTCCAAAATAAGTTTACACACAAGTCACCATTTTATGGACACAAAAAAAAGTGTAATTTGTACTAATTAATAAAACCACCCATATTTAAAATGTTTTGGAATGTAAATGTATTTTCAAAATTTCTCAATGCATCTGGACAATGTCTACAACTAATATAGAAGTGGGTAATGGCCAAAAAACATAGGTGCCAAGAGTCCAAAATTTGCCAGGACAGCCCTGCATTTTGGGTACCGACCCAGCAAATATAGGTCACTATAACCATACATGGAGTGCAGCTTTTATATATATAATATATAGGAGAAATTTGCGCAAGGTTTAGTAGTATGGATTAAAATATGAATTTTTGGACATAGTTTCCCTTCAAACCATTTTTTTTACTCTATTTCCCACATTGAATGATTTGGGTGTGATGCATTTTTTTTTTTTTTTTTGTATTTAGCATTTTCTTGTATCTTATATATGTGAGAACAAAAGTGCAAACTAACTTAATGTGTAATTATTTGCTGAGAGATTGGCACCCTGATGTTTCTGTTGACCGATATTAACCTACACCAAAGATACACATGGTAGAAGCTGCTAGGTTGAAATATAATGCCCCAATTTACTATTATAATCTCTAAAAAAGCAGATTGAATCCTGAGTACACAATAAGCAACAGTATGTGAAATCATGTGTTGGCTCATGCTCCCTGACATTGTGTTGTCGTCACTGTTGAAACTGGTTACTGCCTACTCCTTTGTAGCATCTGTGATCTGTTAATACTCATAAGGCAATCGAGAGTAAGCAGGACCGGTGCACGGATTTGTAGCTACACAGGCAAAGATGCATTTTGCGGCGCCTCTCACCCCCGCAAAAGTGCATCTTCACCTGTGTGTTTCATATCCCCTCTTTTGAATGCCTTACCCCTTTTTGTGCTTTAATGTATTTTATTACCCCTTTTTTGTATCTTACAGCCCCCTTTGTGTGTCTCTTACCCACCCCAGACCCTTTGTGTGTCTCTTGCCCACCCCAGACCCTTTGTGTGTCTCTTGCCCACCCCAGACCCTTTGTGTGTCTCTTGCCCACCCCAGACCCTTTGTGTGTCTCTTATCCACCCCAGACCCTTTGCGTGTCTCTTATCCACCCCAGACCCCTTGCGTGTCTCTTACCCACCCCAGACCCCTTGCGTGTCTCTTACTCACCCCAGACCCCTTGCGTGTCTCTTCACCCCAGACCCTTTGTGTGTCTCTTATCCACCCCAGACCCTTTATGTCTCTTATCCACCCCAGACCCCTTGTATCACTTACTCACCCCAGACCTCTTATCTCTTGCCCACCCCAGACCCCTTGCGTGTCTCTTGCCCACCCCAGACCCCTTGCGTGTCTCTTGCCCACCCCAGACCCCTTGCGTGTCTCTTGCCCACCCCAGACCCCTTGCGTGTCTCTTACCCACCCCAGACCCCTTGCGTGTCTCTTACCCACCCCAGACCCCTTGCGTGTCTCTTACCCACCCCAGACCCCTTGCGTGTCTCTTACCCACCCCAGACCCCTTGCGTGCCTCTTACCCACCCCAGACCCCTTGCGTGCCTCTTACCCACCCCAGACCCCTTGCGTGCCTCTTACCCACCCCAGACCCCTTGCGTGCCTCTTACCCACCCCAGACCCCTTGCGTGCCTCTTTCTCCCCTTAGTTTGTTTTGTGTGTCTTTCTTCCCAAGCCATGTAGACATAGATATGCAGGCAAAAATACATACTTACACAACCATAAAAGCACAGGCATTGTTTTTCAGGCACAGTCATAAAAGGCACACAATAAAACAAACTCATATGGGTACACTGTGATACAAACACAGATATAATCATACAGACGCATACATACAGAGACATATGTGTACAGAGATATGCGTGCAGGCACACTGACAGTCACAATTATATACTTGCTAACTGACAGTCACAATTATATACTTGGTAAATGCTGTCTGGCTCTGTGGAGTCCTGTCCTGCAGCTCAGCCCCATCACTGGGTGTCAGCCACGCTGTGTGGTACACATGAAGCAGGGATATGATGTAATTCATATCCCTACCCTCTTCACACAGACACCAACGTAGGAGACTAGGGGGGTGGCGGTAGGAGGCTGGGCTGGCGGTAAGAGGCTGTGCTCCGCTGTGCTGTGATGAGGGTGGGAAATGCTTGCGCTCGGCCACGCTTCAAGAAGTAACCGACTGGAGAGGAGCGCAGTGCGCTTCCCTCCTGCCTGACAGCCTGACATTGCGCCATCTGGACCGGTGCGCCTTAAGGCGGCCGCCTGAGTCGCCTTATGGTAGCACCAGCCCTGGGAGTAATGAAGAAAAGACAATAATGATTTCTTGCACCTTTTTATACTAGACTACTAGGGGGTAATTTACATGCCATATACCCCAGGGCAAGGGTAGGCAACCTTTTAGTAGTACTGTACCAAAACACAAGGTATTGAAGCCTATTGGCATGCCGGTGCTTCTCTTTTTTAAATTGAGGTGTGTATGTTGCCATATTGTACTTGTGTTTTTTTTTAGTTGCAGTTGCTTTGTAATGTTGTATTTCTGTGTATGTGGGCTGTTTTACTGTTTATGCTCATGAATAGTTTGTAGTATTGTGTATGATATAAATGGGGGCTGATTGTGGAATTGTGTGTCTGAATGATATGTCATATTGTGTATGTGTGGGGCTGGTTTTGGTATTGCATGTGAGAGGCTGCTTGTGGGGCAGTGTGCATATACGTGAATTGTCCGTGGTGTTGTGGACTTTGTGTGGGCTGTCTGTATTATTTGTATGAGGGCGAGGCTACTTCTGTAGACATTGCCTACCTAGATTTCAGTAAGGCTTTTGACACTGTTGCACATAGAAGGCTTATCAATAAACTGCAATCTTTAAGTTTGGATTCCAATATTGTTGAATGGGTAAGGCAGTGGCTGAGGGACCGGCAACAGAGGGTTGTTGTCAACAGAGTATATTCGAAGCAAGGTCTAGTTACCAATGGGGTACCTCAGGGATCTGTACTTGGACCCATTCTCTTTAATATTTTTATTAGTGATATTGCAGAAGGTCTTGATGGTAAGGGATGTCTTTTTGCTGATGATACTAAGATATGTAACAGGGTTGATGTTCCAGGAGGGATAAGCCAAATGGCAAATGATTTAGGTAAACTAGAAAAATGGTCAGAGCTGTGGCAACTGACATTTAATGTGGATAAGTGCAAGATAATGCATCTTGGATGTAAAAACCCAAGGGCAGAGTACAGAATATTTGAGAGTCCTAACCTCAGCATCTCTTCAGATGTCTTAAAGGAAGGCAGACAATGTAATAGAGCAGCAGGAAATGCTAGCAGAATGCTTGGTTGTATAGGGAGAGGTATTAGCAGTAGAAAGAGGGAAGTGCTCATGCCATTGTACAGAACACTGGTGAGACCTCACTTGGAGTATTGTACACAGTACTGGAGACGTATCTTCAGAAGGATATTGATAGCTTAGAGAGGGTTCAGAGAAGGGCTACTAAACTGGTTCATGGATTGCAGGATAAAACTTAAAAGGAAAGGTTAAAGGAGACAGGGGGGATATGATAGAAACATTTCAATTTATAAAGGGAATCAACACCGTTTCGGAGGAGACTATATTTAAAAGAAAAACTACCACAACAAGAGGACATAGTCTTAAATTAGAGGGGCAAAGGTTTAAAAATAATATCAGGAAGTATTACTTTACTGAGAGGGTAGTGGATGCATGGACTAGCTTTCCAGCTGAAGTGGTAGAGGTTAACACAGTAAAGGAGTTTAAGCATGCGTGGGAAAGGCATAAGGCTATCCTAACTATAAGATAAGGCCAGGGACTAATGAAAGTATTTAGAAAATTGGGCAGACTAGATGGGCAGAATGGTTCTTATCTGCCGTCACTTTCTATGTTTCTATATTTCTATGTTTCTGCAGCCCTGTGTATAGCATGCAGAGTGGGTGGCTTGCCTGGGGTCCAGTGGGGACTGGGCTGGCCAGATACAGGTTAAGGGCAGGAGCTGTTCTACTCCTGGGCGGATTCCAGTTTAGTTCTTGTAAAAAAAGGGATTTGATATCATTTCCTCTAAGTGCTGCAATGTGGAAATTGAGGATTGTCTGTCACCAACTGCAATCATTGCTCAGGTTGCACTAACAGATATCTGAAGTCCTACTGGGACTCCTGATAGGACAGAGTCTGTTTGGCTCTGGCAGCCTTGAGAGCTGTACAAATGCTTACATAGGTTGCTCACCTGTGCCCTAGGAAACACTGGTCATTGCTACAGCCACTGCGATTTCCATCCAAATAAATAAAATTATAATGAAACCTTTGTCTCAAATATAAATAGCACTGCTGCCACCTTGATATAAACAAATTAAATGTGTATATTAAAAAAACAAAAAAAACCCTACTACCATAGGGACACAAATGATGCATAGTACATAGCACTAAACTATGCAGACATAAACCATAGTTTCTTTACACTTTTACCATGGAAAAGCATTTTCTACCACATTACTATTTTTTTCCCAGATGTTTTACTGTGACTTAGCTGTACTAAGACTATTACACTTTTTCCTTAGACGTGTATGGGATCAATATCTCTGCATGAATAACCCAAATCATTTCTTTTGACGTCTGTGTTCAGATGCAAGGGTAAATAACACATGTGCAAGTAGGTTTGATTAGTTTCTTTGGGGGAAGTACCGTAGGAACACACTGGTGACTATACACTTTTGTGCGGCGCATTCCTTCATGTAAAGCCGTGCTGAGATATCTTGGTCATTTCTTTATTCACATGCATGTTCCTGGCAAAAAGAAAACAGCCCAGGGATTTTTTATTTTTATTTTGCAGAAGGGACACTTGATATTTCTGATATTCTTGTGTTTGAGGCATGTATGTGTTTTAATAAGGATGTTCAGATTCCTACTTGTGGAATGTGTTTTTTTTAAAAAAAAAAATAAATTTTTTTTATTAAGCATCAGAATTCTTTATTACCTATAATAACTAGCCTTTGGACCGTATCTTGATCTGTTTACAGAATAGGTGCGGTGGAAATTTACAACTTTTTCTATTTTTATGATGTAGAACTTTGAACAGTGAGCTAAACACTCTCTGTGAATAGTAAGCGTTTTTTTTCTTCATGGAGCATGTCTCGGGATGAGTGAGAGAATGGCTTCAGCCGTTGTTGTGGGAACTGTCAAAATGTGAAGTGCTGCATTTTGTCAACTTGAGCCTTTATTATAAGAGAAAGTAGTCTAACTCTGATGCAGTCATTCTAAGCATTCCATAAAGATGCTGTTTTCATGACATGCTTATAAATAACTTTTTAGTCAAAGAGCCATATTTAAAGGATCAGTTATGTACCATAACCACAGACTGCACTAATCCTCTGCTCTTTGAACTGCAGCGATTTTGTAAAGATTGCTGTGCCTGATGTGAATTTTGGGCTACTTAGGCTGAGCTCTTTCTAGGAAAAAAATCTTGATTTCTGTTCTTCACACATAGTCCTTTTTTTTTTTTTTCTCCCTCCCTCTCCCCCTCCCCCCCAACCCAATAGCTCTCTTTCTACAGAAACATTTTTTTTTTTTTTTTTTCCCACTTGAATTTCTCTCTTACTTGAAGGAACACTCCAGGCATCATAACAATTTAATCTAAATGAAGTTATGGTGCCAGTAGACCCCATATGCACGGTTAAACCATTCTCGAATGGTTTAACTCCAAAGTTGCCTCCAACATCGATCTCAACTCCCCCAGGTGGCATCTGCTTCTGAAATGTCAGTTTCAGGAAGCGCAAAGTGCTTTTTTCAATACATTTTTGTGAATGAGTTTATTTGCACTAAAATTAGGAGTGTGTGTGTTTTTTTTATGTATCTGACATACTTCATTTAACCCCTTAAGGAACAAGGACGGTTCAGGACCGTCATCGGCATTTTCCCATTGCTGACCGGTGACGGTCCTGAACCGTCTTAACGGTCTGAGTTACTTACCTGATCGCTGTCGTTCCCCCGGCGGCGATCAGCGGTGCACCCGGTGTGGGGAGACTGTCTGCAGCCCAGACAGTCTCCCCATGGTGTATTAGGACCCCTGGGGCCATGTGATCGCAATAAGTGTCCATGTGTCTGCCTGCAGGGGGACTGTCTGTGCTGACAGGTAGTCTCCCTGCTAGTGTAAAATCAATAAAAAAAATTTAAGTTAATGTTAAGAAAAAAATAAATAATTATGTGTGTGTGTGTGTGTGTGTGTGTGTGTGTATATATATATATATATCTCATAATGTCATACTAAGTGTATTTTATATTAATATGTACATATATTAATATAAAAATACTTATAATTAAATTACACACGTGTGTCTCTATCATTAAAAAATCTATATACAATTTTATTCTAACTGTATTTTGATATTTATTTTTATATATATATTTATATCAAAATACACTTAGAATGAATTTGTGTATATATAAATAAAAATACGAAATATACATATGTCCATATACAAAATTACATAAATAATTCTATAAATATACACATAGACTTCAAATATATAAATATGCATATATATTTCAATTCTACGTGCGTATTTATGTAATATTTTTACATAATTAATTTTATTGATTGCAATTTGAGGGACCTGTCTGCCAACCCAAGCCGAAGGTCCATAGAATTTAATTTGCTAGCACTGTATTTTACCCTGTAACGTTCTACGACACCCTAAAACCTGTACTTGGGGGGGTTACTGTTTTACTCGGGAGACTTCACTGAACACAAATATTAGTAATTCAAAACAGTAAAACATATCACAGCGATGATATTGTCAGTGAAAGTTACTTTTTTTGCATTTTTCACACACACACAGCACTCTTACTGATGATATAATTGTTGTGATACGTTTTTGAAAACCCTTATATTTGTGTTCAGCGAAGTCTCCCGAGTAAAACAGTACCTCCCATGTACAGGTTTTATAGCATTTTTGAATGTTACAGGGTCAAATATATGGGTCAAATATTTTTACATTGAAAATGGCCAGGTTGGTTGCCTTTGAGAGCGTATGGTAGCCCAGGAATGAGAATTACCCCCATGATGGCATACCATTTGCAAAAGAAGACAACCCAAGGTATTGCAAATGGGGTATGTCCAGTCTTTTTTAGTAGCCACTTAGTCACAAACACTGACCCAAATTAGCGTTCAATTTAGTTTTTAACTTTTTTCAAACACAAACAAATATGAATGCTAACTTTGGCCAGTGTTTTCGCCTAAGTGGCTACTAAAAAAGACTGGACATACCCCATATTGAATACCCTGGTTGTCTACTTTAAAAAAAAATGTACATGTGGGGTGTTATTCAGAGATTTATGACAGATAATAGTGTTACAATGTCACTATTGTTAAAAATGTATATTTTGAAACCGCAATATCCTACTTGTACCTATAGTCCTATAACTTGCAAAAAACCACGTAAACACTGGGTATTTTTAAACTCAGGACAAAATTTTGAATCTATTTTAGCAGGTTTTTTTTTCATTCGCTTTTGTAGATGAGTAAAAGTCAAAAAACATGTAATTTTTTTTTTCCCATCATATTTTTTTTAAATTAAATTACATGAGATTATATAAATAATGGTATGCAAAGAAAGCCCCTTTTGTCCTGAAAAAAAATTATATAATTTGTATGGGAACCGTAAATGAGAGAGCGGAAAATTACAGCTAAACAGAAACACCACAAAAGTGTAAAAATATGCCTGGTCGCAAATGTACAACATCGCAAAAACAGTCCAATCCTTAAGGGGTTAAAAAAGAATGTATGTATCTTTCCCTTCAAAACTTGATGAAAGGATTATTATATTAAATTGTTTTGAGGTACCGTATTTTCCGACATATAAGACGACTTTTTACCCCTGGAAAATCTTTTCCAAAGTGGGGGGTCGTCTTATACGCCGGGTATGCTAATGCTGCAGCCGCCTGAGCACTCTATAGAGAGCGCTCAGACGGCTGCCGCACTGCCTCTCTTAACTCCTCTTCCCTGTGCAGAGTGGGTGGCCGAGCTCCTCTTTGTCCTGTCAGTCCGGACTGAAAGGAAGTGCACACTGAGAACAGGGAAGGGGAGGTGAAGGGGAGGTGACAGGGAGGGAGGGAGGGAGTAAAAAGAATGGAGGAGGGTGGGGGGAGTAAAAAGAATGGAGGGTGGGGGAGTAAAAAAGAATGGAGGGTGGGGGGAGTAAAACGAATAGAGGGTGGGGATGGGGGTGGAGTAAAAAGAATGGAAAAGAATGGAGGGTGGGGGAGTAAAACGAATGGAGGGTGGGGGTGGAGTAAAAAGAATGGAGGTGGGGGAAAAACGAATGGAGGGTGGGGTGGGTGTGGGAGGAGTAAAAAAATGGGGGGTGTAAAACAATTGGGGGCGTGAATAAAAAATGGAGGGGGGATTAAAAATAATGGAGGGGGATAAAAAAAGAATGGAGGGGGGATTAAAAAAGAATGGAGGGGCTTTAAATGCTATTTCAGATTATCATTATTTAAAGGACCACTCTAGGCACCCAGACCACTTCAGCTTAATGAAGTGGTCTGGGTGCCAGGTCCAGCTAGGATTAACCCATTTCAGAGAAACTGCTATGTTTACTAATGGGTTAATCCTTCCTCCAATTCCTCTAGTGGCTGTCTCATTGACAGCCGCTAGAGGCGCTTGCGTGATTCTCACTGTGAAAATCACAGTGAGAGCACGCAAGCGTCCATAGGAAAGCATTGTAAATGCTTTCCTATGCGACCGGCTGAATGTGCGCGCAGCTCTTGCCGCGCGTGCGCATTCAGCTGAATGGGAGGAACGGAGGAGGATCGGAGGAGGAGCGCTCCCTGCCCAGCGCTGGAAAAAGGTAAGTTTTTACCCCTTTTCTCTCCCCAGAGCCAGGCGGGAGGGGGACCCTGAGGACACTAAAGTGCCAGGAAAACGAGTGTTTTCCTGGCAATATAGTGGTCCTTTAATGTTTTGCTGTGTAGCTCTGTCTGCTCACTGTACATCATTGCTAATTTTTATTTGGTGTGCATTGGAAGAGGGGTAGTCTTATACGGCGAGTATATCCCAAACTCTATATTTTAACTGGAAAAGTTGGGGGTCGTCTTATACGCCGGAAAATACGGTAGTAGTTCTTTAAGTTTTAGCATAAATTCTCAAAAATGGTTAACACTTTCTGAGGTTGTTTAAAATAAATTATATATATTTTTTTATTCTTTACTTTGTACTTGTTAGCAGTAAAACCAGTGGTCTGAACCTGTGGAGATAACCTCTTTATTTTATATTTGGTTTGTTTTATTTTATAGTCCATCTCACAGTGGTCATGCAAGTAGGTAGTCTGCCAACCAGAAGCAGGAGATGTGAATCACTATTTATCTTTCACAGAACACACAGTAAGAGATGCTTGTTTCTTGATAATGTCATTAATTACACATAAAATAAAAATAAAATTTCACATTGGGAAGCCGAAACGGGCAGCGTGCATGCTTCATATTGCAGCATACTGACTGCCTAGAAGCCGTTGGTCGTTTTTTTTTGCCTGGATCCACTTTGTTACGTCAAAGGATTATGTTCTGGAATCTATTTTTCCCATCCCTATTTCCAATAACTAAGAAACTACACAGACCTTATTTTGGATTAATACAAACTGTGGTGCAAGCAATGCTGTTGGTATAGTACACTCTCTCAATAACTATATATTTCAAATAAAATGAAGTCTCTCTCTAACTTTAGATTTCTTTTTGTATGCTGCCTTTCTTCATTTTTCTTCTTTCCATAGAGAAATTTAAAATGTAAAAATGATTAAGGCGTTTCTGTATTGTACTAGAAACAGGATGCACAAATATTAGTTCCTGAAGCCACGTTGTCAAAGTCCAGTGACATGGAAAACAAACTTGCTTTGGTAAATACTGTGCCTTTTGTTGAATGACCGAGAATGTCACTTTTTGTGGTTTCTCCAATCATCTGTCCTGCTGTTGCCAACTTGGCCATCTCCAATAATTGGGTGGATTTTTTTTTTTCTTTTCAAACACTGTTCATATAACCAGAATAAATATGGCTTTTTAAATAATTCTATTTAAAGGAAATATCTAGTTGTGTGTGTGTGTGTGTGTGTCCCCTTCCTTTTATATAATGTACCCCATTCCTCCCTGTCACAAGTTATCACAGTGCAGGGATGGACTAAGAGCCTTTGGGGACCTTGGACAAAAGTAGATCAGAGGCAGTATGAAGGCCAAATATTATGTTTATATATTAAATATAACTCTCACGTAAAACTGTATTCTTTGGATGTATACAGTATGAAGACCTGTGTATACATGCATGTTTGTAGAATCTGTACAAATGCACTTGTGCATTGTCTGAAAGGATGCATGTGCTTTTTTGCATATAATGTCACTATTAATACTTATGTGTTGATCATCAGTGTGTGACTACATGTATGCATTTGAGTGTAGTGAACATGTGTAAATGGAGAAATGTGTTTTTGTTTTTGTTTTGTCTGCTGCAAATATATTAAAGCAATGATGTATTTGTATGTGACTTCATATTACATACTATGTGTCAAAGAAGGGATATGTATGTGTGTGTAATGATGTGCATCAATCTTAAAGTATAATATGTGTAGTCACACAGGTTTAGTTGCATGTAGTGCAAGAGTGTGAATACATTGTTCTATGAGTAACAGGTGTGTGTGTGTGTGTGTAAGCAGGGGCATCTGTATGGAATGTAGGGTGACGTGAATGTAAGGGTGTTTTTATGCTGGGGTGTAATTTTGTTGAGGGTCTATGTGTGTAAATAAAGGTTTGTGTATCAATGTAAAAGTTTGGAGAGTCTGTGTTTGAATTCAGGGACAGAGTTTTATGGTGTGCCTGTGTGTGAACACGAGTACATTTGAGCAGTGTGCATGTGTGTAGAGAGTAAGTATCTGTAAATGACGAGTGTATTAGAAATTTGTCTCCGCATGTGAGGGGTGTAGTTGTAAATTGTGTGTGTGAATGAAAAGTGCAATTCATACCTCTGTCAAAGTGTTTGTGTATAAGAGCCTTATTTATATGGTGCAAGTGTATTTTTTTTATTTTTTTATTTATTTTTTATTTTGTTGTTCTCCCACCTCCTTTGGTGCCATTTACATAATCCTCCTCCACTTGTGTCTTTACATCACACACCTGTTTGTCTCCACATTATCTCCTCTTACCCCTCCATCGCCATCCTGTGATCTCCACAACTGTTACATTTCATACTATTCCTTTCCAAACACCCCATTTGTGCCTTTCTTCCATCCTTGACAAAGTTTTCTAACCTTCCCCTTTCATTTTTGCCCCTCATAAAGCTCAATGTCTATACACAAGACCCTTGTGCAGTGGTGGAACTGGTGTAGAGGGCTCTGGTGCAAGAAATTTTATTTTTAGCCCCTTGTAGTGCAAGGTTAACACAAAGGTAGATCCCCATCCATCGTACAACTCCCACAATGTTATGCCAGCTGGAGAGCTTCCATTTCCCTGTCTTTGCAGGGTTTCATTTAGTAACAATGTTTGAATGTAATGTTTTGTACAGAGTATATGTGTGCAGGTAAAAATTTAATTGTATGTTCTGTTGCCATTGGAATGTAGTGGTGGTGGTGGTGGGGTGTGTGTGTGTGTGTGTGTGGTGTTTGCATTTGAATGCAGGGGTGTTTTTGTATGTAGTGTTGGATTTTAAATGTTGGTATATAAATGAAGGGGTGTTTTGTATATAATTTGGACAGTTTTTTTTTTTTTTTATACAGGGTGTGTGCATGTTGTATTGGTGTTTGCTGAGATGTATGTACACAGATAAACATACATATTTACACACACTGATACACACACTAATACATACACATATACATGTCAGAATTTCTAGCATCTGTTCTGTTAAGGTAACATTTATGTGCTGAATGGTAGCTTGCCTAGGGTACTGCTGCTGGCTCAGTCTAATGGGAGGGTGGCTCTGGAGCTGGGTCTCTCCCCCTTCTTTTGTGCTGTCTCCTCTTCCTCACACATGGTTGTTCCTGGAGCTGGGAGGAATTGATCTGAACTCCCTTCCTCCCAGCATCACCAATGTGAAAAAAAACTGTTTTTTGTTTGTGTTTTTTCTCATTTCTTTTCATTTCAACAATACCCATACATGTGATCTTTACAGAACCAGTTAATATGGGAGTCTGAACATGATCAGAAACAAGCTTATTTGAAGAGAATAGATCTAACTTTCTTGAATTTGCTTCTTTCTTATGAAATTTCGGCAATTCATGTCAAAACATAAAATCTAAGGAAAAAGTTGTAAAAATTGGAAAATGTCACAGGCAATTCCCAGAAAACCAAGTGATCAAACTACTAAATGGCATACAGTAATCTAAATGCCCAAACCACATCTTTACACTAAAGTTGTTTTGGTGCTTTGTGTCCCCTTAAACTGAACTGAAACTGTGGACATTTTTTTTTCTTTCTCCAATACACACGACCAAGAACAAAAAACATGTTTGAAGGGACTCTCTCTACTCCTAAAGTGCTGTGTGTGTGTGTATGTATGTATGTATGTATGTATGTATGAATTAGTCTGGTTACACCCCCTTGGCTTTCAAGCAAACTGGTAAAATTACTTCCTTGTATGTTTAGCTCAGTTAAGCTAGTCAAGAAGTAGCAATAGCCCAGACCAGAGAACCTGTTCTGCAAAGACTTCTCACTGAGCTGCATTGGGAAGTCTGTGATTGGATAGCCATAGGAAGTTTGGGTGGGGTTAGAAAGGGAGGGTTTGCAAGGGCATCAGACAAGAGATCAACAGCTTTTGCAAGCGAAGATATGCCCCAATGAAAATGCATAGTTAAAATAAATGCATGTTTTAAATTGTGGTAGATCTACTAAGCAGCATTTTTTTTAAATGTATTTTGTCTTTGGCAAGGGAGTGTCCCTTTAATACTCCAGCCTTGTTACAATAAAAAAAAATGTTCTGTCAGACTGGACACAATGGCCATCCTACAGAGTTAGTTGACAATTTAAAGAGACACTATAGCATCAACACAACTTTAGCTTAATGAAGCTGTTTTTGTGTATAGATCGTGCCTCTTTTGTGTATAGATCATGCCTCTGTTTCACTGCGCAACTCACTGCCATTTAGGAGTGAATTCACTTTTATTTCTGTTTTTGCAGACCTTGTCACATCTCCCCTGGCTGTGACTGGCACAGCCTGCATAAACAAAATGGTTATATTTTCAATGAGATGATAACTTGGTCTAGAAGTTTTTATCTCCCGCTCTGTAAATTGAATTTTAATCACACACAGGAGACTCCTTCCGGGTCTAGAAGGCTATTAACAGAGCAGGAGATAAGATTTTCTAAATAAAACGGACGTTGCAATAAAGGAAGTGTAAATATTAGATGACTTTACAGGAAGTGTTTAGGAAGGCTGTGCAAGTCACATGCATGTAGGTGTGACTAGAGCTGCATAAACAGTAATTTAACTCCTAAATGGCTGAAAATTTGAATTTCACAGTGAGACTGCAGTGGCATGAGCTATACACAAATACTGGTTAATTAAGATAACATTGTTTTGGTGACTATAGTGTCTCTTTAATGCTTACTTTAAAGTTGCTTGCAGCAATGTCAAGTGTGGACAAACTGCCGAAAGCTGAGAATAAGACCCAGAACGCATTGGGAATGGTTCTAAATAGCTTGGTAAAGTTGTTCCTTTATGTGGTGGGAAATGTGTAACTTATTCGGCTGGGAGAGATGTAGAACGTTCTTTTGAGGACTGATACTTCCTCTCGTCCTATAATATTATCTGCTGTAGCAGATTACTCGTATTGTAACTGGTGCATAATCGCACAAGCCAGGAATAAGATTAGAAATTGATATAAAACTTTTGGCTTGTCTTTTGCTTTCACCTTTGTGTTGCTCGCTTTAGAAAATAGTACCGGGCTTTCACAAAGTGGAATCAGACACCTTTTAATTCTAGCTTTCCTGGCACCATCTGAAAGCAAGATAAACACTTGGCCCTATCTGCAGGAGCTAGAGAAGCTAGTCTTTGTCTCTTAAAAACCTTAAGGTCACTCCTTTTTGAGAAGGACAAGATGCACTACTGCATGGGGATCAGCCCAACAAACCCCTTGCTGTAGGCAGGTTAACCTTTTTATCTTTAAAGGTTTGAGATAACATTGTCTTGGGACTAGTTAATTACATTTAATAGTGCTGCAAGAACACATGGATGAATATCAATGACTCCAAACAGGCATGTCACTTGACGGGTTACCCTTCCCTTAAGAGAGGTACTTTATGATTTTGTGATGACTATAGGAATATTAGTATCCAAAGCATGATGCATTCATATTCATTTTAGATGTATTTACCATGTGTATTGGTTTTTGTGTGCGCATGTGTTTTACATAAATTCAAATAAAGGGCTTAAAACCTTCAATTTGGCCTTTAAAAAAAAAAAAAAATTGAATTTCACATCATAGCATTTGAAAACCCAAAATTTAGACTAAAATAGCAGATTTTAGAACAAAATTTAGTTCTAGTAACAGCATGACTATTTCAGACTAAGTATTACAATTCAGATTCTAAATCCCTTCAATTTGGTATTTAGTAAAGAAACTAAAAGCTAAGCATTCTCCGGAAGTTCACACTTTCCCCCCTGCGTTTTATGCCGTTGGTGGATGATGATGAGTTGTCTCATAACGCATTGACTGGACCCTTTGGGTAGTTATAGCCTAGATCCCCAACAATGCTTAGATATGATGTATTCTAACATTGAAATGATAATCTATTGGTATGGTGTGATTGGGGAGAGAGCTATCCAACACCACTACACTACCAGTGCCATATACCATGCATGGGTTAATGTTGTTTATGCCACATTTTGACTTTACGGCAATAGAAATTGTGAGTTATTTTACTAGGTAAAGTACCCCCTCCCTCCCCATTCATCAGTTGTCCAGTCATGTCGCCTTCTCTTGCTTTTCCATGTTGATGTTCTGCGGCCTCAGTTCTTTTTGTGTTGTGTTGATATTTAGGGTCTGTGTTGTTAGTGGAAACCTATATAATCTGAAATTATCTGAATCAGCATGTAGGTGAGGATGAAAAATTGCTGTTCTTAGTGGCTGTGTGATTTAAAAAAAAAAAAAAAAAAAATTACCAAAAAATTATTATTTTTTTACATGGTAGTCATAGCTTAAGCTATTAAAATTAAAATGTGCTCTGATATGCAGTGAATCCTAGCTTGATCCATTTCATAGGCCAACATTATCTAGCATCATCTTTTCACATTTCAGCTTAATACATTTCTAATACTATGAGTGTGGGGTGTGTAATGTAAGAACCTATGTTGCTTTTCCAGTTTTACATGATCTTAATCTCCAGGTGTCTGTGATAGAAATCCATTTGGATAATTACTTTTGATAAGAGTGTAGTAGTGTGAGCTCTCCAAACGTTGCCAGCAAGGTTCCACGGGAGAATCTTCACAATATTTTGACAATATAATTTGCTAGATAGGAGATTGGATTTCTTGTTATCCTTCTCGGGATCAAAATCCCTGCTATCTTTTAAAAGGATGCTCAAAGCACGATTATAAATGTTCATTGTCCTTGTGAGAGCTATGGTGCACGGAGTCTAATTTCATTCTGTTAGTGATTTCTGCAAATCACTGCAGTCATGACTGTCATTGAAAACACCTGTCTTCTATTGTATTTTATTACAGGGAGAAGCAGAGCTGCACATGCCGTACCAGTTCTAAATAGCATGGGCTCTCTTGTGGATGTATATGTGTGTATATATATATATATGTGTGTGTGTGTGTGTGTGTGTGTGTATGTATGTATGTATGTATGTATGTATGTATGTATATATATGTGTGTATATATATATATATATATATATATATATATATATATTTTATTGGATAGTTTGACGGCAATATGAATTATATTAAAAAACAGTGAAATCACGTTGAGCTGGACAGTGAATGGTAGTTATACAGTCATATTAAGTCATGTTGTTTATATTTTTACAAGGGAAAGCAGCAAATGTGTAGGAAATGTATAAACAAGGAGAGTAGTCATTGTATTAAAGAGGAAGTCTGCCCCCAGAGCATTGTCATGGTTCCTGGCACCCAGAAATTCATATTGAAAGCCAACAAATGAATTTGTACATTGCTCTGCAGATATTAGCTTGCCAAGTCGTTAATTGTCTTTTACGTGATTGAATCTAAACGTGTCCCACAAATCCCTGTAGGTGACTTTTTTTTTTTTTTTTAACAAAGGCTAAATAAGACCTGTTTGAAGGTATTTTACATGTTAATGCAATCACATGTTAAATATGGATAGTAAACTTGTAAAACGATTAACTGAATGCGTTTTATACATGGATACAGAAAAACTATGGGTAAATGAATAAAAAGGTGAATTTGCTGCCCATTTACAAACAATAACAAACTCTGTTAATACAATAATGTCAATTGTGAAACAGGAGCTTTCAGCAAATACTGTGAAAATGCCACAACTGTACCATCAGGGCTGGATTAACAGCCCATTGGGCCTGGTGCTAACCATTATGATGGCCCTAATTACAGAATCTTATCAACAGAAAACACTAAAATAGTTATAAATGTCATGTAACTGGTGGTGCTGGAGGGAAACTCACAGGATATAGCTATCAGAAAACACATTACCCTATACTAATCTCTTGCTTTCAAGTCCATTCCCCCTAACAGCAGGATGTCGGACGGGGTAAAAGGGTGGGCTACTGATGTGAATCCCGTAACCAGAACTGCCCAAAGGGACAAACATACTGTCAGCCAGTGCACACCAGTGTTGTCCCCTTGCAACCCTCTAAGTTTCCATACTTAGGCAAGAGCAGATTTTTTTTTTTTTTTTTTTTTTAATCAGTGGGCCTATTCTACACGCATGGGCCTGGAGCTGCAGCTTCATCAGCCCCTATGGTAAACTGGAAAAAAATTAAGTGTCCAAACTAAACCATTAATGCATATCCTAGATCTTTTCTATACCAAATGAAAAATGTAATTTAAAGTGGCATTACTATTTGAAACCTCCTCTAATTTTATACTTGGGGACAGTGAGGGCACTGCTAAAGTGATCTGCACTCAGTACTGGTGAACACCAACACTCCCTTGAACAGGCGATGGCTGATCATTGAGATTGTTTTGATCTCTCTCTGCTAGCTCAAGCAGTTCCCTCTTTTTTTTTTTTTTTTTTTTTATTTTTTTTTTTTGTTTTACCCAAATAACTTAAAACATGGACTCCAGTGGGTTATGGCATCATTTAATTTCCCATTCACTTTGCCTGTTATGAAAATGGCAAAATCTAATTATTTGGTAGCATAGCATGTGACTGCATTGCATACCTAAATGAATCATTTTAAAGTAGACAAGAGAAAAGTTCCATTGCTGTATGTGAACGTTTCTTTATTTTAATGTGTGTTCTGTACTTCACTCCCACCTCTTCCTTCCTGGTCTCTAGTTATTTTACATGTTCTGTTCATGCACCACTTGTACTAGGGCTTGGTGCTCCTTTACTGGTCCTCTAATATCAGCTATGGCCAAAAAGTAACTAAACAGTTGCAGAACTACCAATACTAATGGCAGAGCCCAGTACACTAATTAATGAATCTAGCTGTGTAAGTAATTGCAGTCATGGTATGGCTGCTATCCTTTTAAAGAGCAGGTTCAATCATCCTTTAAGGCTGGAAAAGCATTCTCATAGTTGTATTCCACTACAGTTGCTATCTACCTTGTGAAAGTTTTAATCCCAAAACTCCTTATACGAATCCACTGGAAGAATAGCCTATTTATTTATTTTTTTTAAATAACCAAATGGTCATGGTAATACGATGCTTTGCCCTAAGTTCATTGTTTCTTTAAGCTGTGAATGACACACCTAGTTCACAAGGAACTCGTTGCTTTTCAGTTGCAAATGTTGGTGTCAACCTGTTTGATCAGTTGTGTTTGTGTATATATGTGATGTACACTGCAGTCATATTGCTCTGCCTTCCTTTTCCTCAGGTGCCTGTCTGAATGTTGTATTTAATGGACTAGCTACAGATCTCGACCACACTTAGTGCAGCTGTAAGGACTTCAAATATCTCACAATGCGGTTATTAAGAAGGAACTATGGGCCGCTAAAGCTTGCTGTGGTGGGCATATTTTTTGTGATTTTTGTATTCATTATGCAGAAGGATGTTGGAAGCGGCACCAAAGATGATCCATGGCTAAAGAATATAGTTGAAAGAAAAGATCAAGTTCTTGACATAATGATGGGAGCTGTGAATAATTTAAGGGATTCTATGCCAAAACTCCAGATTAACGCCCCTGTGCAACAAGAGGAACAAGTTGATAACAGCAAGTCGTGCCTTCCTGGCTATTACACCCCAGCAGAACTCAAGCCATTTATGGAGAGACCACCACAAGATCCCAATAGCCCTGGAGCTGATGGAAAAGCATTTAAGAAGGATCAGTGGACCCAAGAAGAAACAAAGCAGAAAGAGAAGGGCTATGAAAAGCATTGTTTTAATGCTTTTGCAAGTGAAAAAGTATCTCTTCACAGAGCCTTGGGACCTGACACAAGACCACCAGAGTAAGCATTTTCTATCCATTTATTTCCTGATACGTGATAAAGAAATATAAAACCAAAAAGAATTCTAAAAAAAAAATGTTCTAAATTCTGGCTACAAAAACACTTATGAATACATGCACAAACTGCTGAGGCAAAACAAATGCTATCCTGGGGCAAACTACTAAATAAGAGGCAATCACCATGGAAACCAATGGCATGTCTCTAAGTTAGTACTTTTCTCCAGAATAGCAATTTGTCATGTCTTTTCTTTGTGTTTGTTTTTGAAAGGTTTAAAAAAAAAAAAAAAAAAAATAGTCAAGAATAGATTTTCTGATCTCTCTCTCTCTCTCTCTCTTTCTCTCTCTATTATCCAATGTAATGCCATTTTGTGAAACATTAGCTTGTTTGAATAATTTTTCCAATATTTTGTATGGACAATATTTAGATGAGCCGAACCAAATTTTTCTCCAAAGCACCAATCTAGTAATTAATAATACATATGTAGTTGGATACAAAGACCGGCTACAAAAAAAAATCTCTCCTGCTCAAAGTAATGATGGAGTTTTATAGCTGGCAATTTACAAAGGGATAATAAAAAGCATTTGTTATTGAAAGGATCTGGTAGAAGGTGTAGAATATTCCTGGTTTAGTTCACATGGCAAGATTCGGTGAACCTTGACATGACGTGACCGTTTTTTACCTATGACTTCACTTGCAAATGTGAACAAACTGAAAAATGTAGATCATATGAACTCTGCGTACAGCGGTACACACAGGCTTAACGATCTGGTACTATAGCATGTCCTTTAAAAATGGGCCTTTCTATGTCATGAATGCTTTACCCACTGGAAAAAGGCAGGGTTTTCTTTAGAAAAATCGTACCAATCTAATTTGGATGGTTTCTTCCTTTTGATTACATTAATGTATATTTGTAGAGATGTGGATGTAGTCTATCTAGTTCCACAATATGGAATTGGACATAGAGGTTGCAGAATAGGTTAAATACTGATAATTGAGTGCTGTGATAAGCTCTTAAAGTAAAGATGAATGGAATTACTGGGCAGCTTGAAAATATTAAAAATGTGAGCAGGCCAACAATTGAGCACACCGTTTGTGTACGCAAAAATGTACATAGCAGGAGAGGTCTTATATGAAATGATAAAAAAAAAAAAATGCATCACCACTTCACGAACATCTAAAATATTGTGCCCACATCTTGAACTTATCCAAAATATAGATAAAAAAGACAGAAAAAAATATCTGTAAATGCTAGAATAGTGCATGTGCTGTATATTGAGAAAGACTGCTTGAAATATGCATTGCTTGAAGCAGCAGATATAGAAGTGAAATAAGGTATTTTATAGTATGTGTATATTTAACTAAAAGGGAAGTATGAGTAACATCAGAGCATCGTTTTAGCCTAAAAGAGTTGTAGATGCATGAAATTGTCTTCCTCCACTGTCTGCAGAAACGCAAATAGTGGAACAATTCAATGAAACCTGGGATAGACAAAATAATAAAATCTTTGGTTTCTGTGTTTAAAAAAATGTATTTCTGCTTGTTGAAAAAGTTGTATGTTAATATTGTCCATGTTTGTTTGCTTTTTAAAAAACTATGGTTAAATTGTATACTAAGCATTTAACAACCCACTGACCGTTTACAAGTGAGTCATTGACACTCCCAGAAAATTCTCTACATCCTATTATAAATTAAGTTGAAAATCCAGTTTCATTGAGCTGTAGCCACGTCATCGGAAATTATTCTGAAAATGTTTTACTACATGGTAAACTTTAACAAAAATTCAAATGTATTTTAAAACAAAACATACCTGCATTTTAATGTCACTGTTTAGTATGTTCTGTCAGATTAACATATTTAAAATATTTTTCAAACCTTTGTTCAGGAATCGGTAAAACACATACTAACTCTGTTTCTATCTAGAAATTGTCTTGTAATTTTGCTGGCCCAATCTTCTATATTGAACAATTGTATAAAATACCTGGAGAGAGAGCATTATCCACACATTTATGGATGATATTAGGATAATAAGAAAACTAAATACAAATCCTAGAAACAAACAGCAAGTCTAGACCCCTAAAGCACTTCTTCACAACGTGTTTTAGGTGTTAATACCAATTCGTAAAAGTGCAGGTTTCAAGAGAACTTTGTCTAATGCTTGCCTTTAAGAAGTGTACTACTGGGCAATTGCCTCATAGAATTGGTGCATTAGCGCAAATTGGAGTAGTGAGTTTTGAGAAAGGACTGCTGCTGGAGAAAAGGTGCATATGGATGAAATAAAGCAAATTAATGTATTTTTTGGTATTCTTTTACGCTGGAGTGATTTTTGTTTGTTTGTTTTTTGTTTTTTAATAAGAACGCTATGCTTGGAGAGTAGGACTGTCCGTGGTTGGAGATCTTTTCTACTCTCCCTGTCACTCAATTGGCATAGAGTCAATGTCAAAATTGATTGACCGGCTCAAGTCTTCTTTTTAAATAGGTCCCCACCTCCAATCTATAAATTTGCAAGCAAATTTGCTAATGCAGGGCTTTATAAATTGGCTTGGAATCTAGGAGCCAGCTAAAAAAGTTAGACTTTTTTTTTTTTTTTTTAAACTAACAGTTTCATTTTCAGTGATAAAAATGAAATTCTACATCTTAATCGAATAGTTCTGGTATCTATATCCTGTCGGCTTTTCAATGTAAACACTGCCTTTTCAGAGAAAAGGAAGTGAGTACATTGCTGCCTTCCATCACTTCTAGTGACAGTGACTCAGATGGTCACTAGAGGTGATTCCTAATCTAGTACTGCACAGTGTCCAAGACCAGCATGGCATAGGAAAAAAGGAGCGTAAAAACACTTTACCCAAGCAATCGGAGGGTTAAGGTAACCCAAACTCACTGGCGCACATTTTCTCATACTCTCAAATTATTCCTTTTTTTTGTCCATCCACCCTCCTTACCTATGGGAGACCTGGAGTGGATCCTTTCTCTGGGGTTCAGTGGGGCTCCTGTAGTCTTTAAGACCTTCTTGCTCTTCTCCTTCTCGTGTTTAGTAATGCCGGGGCTGAAGTGACATAATTTTCTGGTAACACAGCAGAGCAAGAACTACAGGAAGAATATATATATATATATATATACATTTTTTTTTTTTCTGCTCCTTGGTGCCCGTGATCCATGCCCGCTGAACTGACAAACAAACAGACACTAGGGCAAAATTCCTAGATGCTATGGCTAGATGGTGCCTTGATTTGTTGAGCCCTGTGCTAGCTCAATGAATTGACTGAGATTTATGCTCTCAAAAAAATGAAAGTATTGATTGGTATCCTTTACATTTTTTAAAATAGCCATGCGGTTTCTCGTCTGGCTCCCAGTATCAGAAAAAGTAATTTATTTTATATAAAATGTCCTTGGCAGCAAAGCCTTCAAACATAGTGGTGAGATTAAGTTCACCAGACCAGCCCTATGTTCAGCAAAGGAAAATGACCATCCACAGTCACTCCTTTACCAACCATAAGATTTCACGCCTTTTGAATTAGTCAATTTTAGGGCTTCGCAGCATCCATTGAAAGTAGCAATACTGTTGGAACCAGTTCTTCCCATAGAGAATGACTGATGATATTGGCTATAGACTCTCTTTAATAGTGTCCTACCGGTAACTCCATGTGAAATTGGCAGCACCTGACATGTTAATCAACAATTAGTGATGTTAAGAAAAAAGGAAATATTTTAGTCAATAGTTGAGTTGAAGAGACACCTGGATGTTCGGTTCGGCCGTAATTCTGCAAAAGTTTTATGCTCAGGACTTGAACTTGACCCCAACCCAAACTCTATTGAAGTCAATGGGGACCCAACTTTTGGGCCCTAAAATAGCTCTAAAAAGTCCTGAGAGGGCTGCAAAAGGAAATAAAATGTATTTCCTAAGTACTTATATACTTACCCAGTGGAGGAAGAAGAATGTTACATTGTATACAATTTTAAATAAAAAAGTATGGACATAGCCAGGATTCAGCTGTAAGCATTGGCAACACTTACAACAATCAAGTAACACACATTCATATTAAATGAAAGCTACTTGGCCAGTCAATGTAATGACTGAATGAATAAGTAGATAACTCCCTAATTCCCACAGTATTAGAGAGTTGAGCTCCTAAAGGCTGAAAAGACCTGAATCTCTTTCAGCTAAATTTAATAATACAGTAAAGATTACTTAGTATTAGTAAATTATGCCCCTACTGGGTATGTCAATTAAACAGTGAGCAGCCCATGACTGCTCACTGTTTAAATAAAAATTAGCTCCCTCCACCCTGAACGGGCACGGGAACCTACTAGAATAAGGGGGACCTATTGTCCTCCTCTGGCCCCCACCGAGTGGCGGGTGGGGCCCTAAATTAGAATAAGGGGACCTAATGTCCTCCCTCTGGCCCCCACCCCTGAGCGGTGGCTGGGGCCTAAATTACAATAGGGGGACCATTATGTCCTCCCCTGGCCCCCACCCCTGAGTGGTGGTGGGTGACTTAAATAAAATTGGGAATCTCATGGGCCCCAACCGCTCAGGGTGGGGGCCAATAGGTTTTTATTTTATTTTTATTTTATTTATTTTTACAGTGAGCAGCTACTGTCTCGAATTTCTAATAAGCAATCTTTACTTAGTATTAGAAATGTGGCTGAAAACCAATTTAGGTCTTTCAGCCTTTTGTAAATAGCTCCCTAATACCGCGGGAATTAGGAGTTATCGATTAAGCCGCCAGGATGCAGCCGGAATGAATAGGATCAGAATTTCATTCATTCTAATGAAATTGCGATATCAACAAAGTCCCAATTATGCTCTAACCCAATGGAGAAACTGCTCTCATTCTGTTAGATGCAATTCTGCAGTTTTGTCAAACGCTTGTTGATTGGCTTCCCTGCAGCTTTTCAAAATGCGCCATTAATCGCCGAACATAACCTGAACTGTTACTGAAATGTCCGCTCGGGTTCAGGGTCAAAAATCGACAGTTCAGTACAACCCAAACTTACAGTTCGTGGTTCGCCAACTCTAATCAATAGTGATTTGTTCTATGAAGAGTACTCTTGATTACTTGCTCGTTGTTTCACGAGCAGTTACTGATCTGCTGTGTTCCCTCTTCCTGCTTTTTAAATACTATTTTTGTTGCTAGGAATTCTTCTTTTTTTTTTTTTTCAACCAACTGGTCTATAAAAACGTATTGTTAATAAGATGACTTGGAGGGCAATTGAAATACATGCTTAAGATCTATAGATAGGCAATTTTATACTGAAGAGGGGTAAGTAGATAGCAAATAACACTAATTTTGAGTCTACATTGAATGTGGAACTTAATAAATCTAATATAATTTAGAACATAAATAAGACAATAATAGTTATTTACATTCTTTTTGAAATATATAGATTCATCCCTCAGTGTATTTTCTGTCAGAGAAGGGATTGATAAACCAAAACTGCTATTAATTCAATCAAGTATAGAGAGATGATTGAACCAAAGATTATATACTAAGCATGCTTGTGTCTTAGATTTCATCTGTGCTTTGTAATAAAGCCTAGGTGAAGGTAGCATGGACTGTAGAGTAAGTACAGGGCCTAGTTGGAAAGTAATGCAGGCTATTGTAGATAGGACTATTGCCTCATCACTTTTATTAAAACATGAGAAAATGTGTGAGGAATGGATATGTGTTTGGAGAGCTGAAATTCAAAGCCAGGAGAAATCTCCAATTCTTATATCTTTTATTATAAGTATAAGAGTCTTAAGGCACCTTCCTACTTTGGGAAAAATATAACAGTCCTCATGTATGCATATCCCACTGTTGATGTCAGGTGCTAGCGTGAAAATAATAAATAAATGATTTAAAAAAATCTCTCTCTGGAAGAAACACAAAATAACGGTCAGTCTCTCTCGGTCTGGTGCTTCATGCAAGATCTCACCTCGTGGAGTTTCAATGATCATGAGAACAGTGAGGAATTGGCCCAGAACTACATGTAAAGGATTTTGTTAATGATCTAAAGGTAACTGGGACCATAGTCACCAAGAAAACAATTGGTAACACACTATGCCGTGAAGGACTGAAATCCTGCAGTGCCCGACAGGTCCCCCTGCTCAAGAAAGCACATGTACAGGCCCATCTGAAGTTTGCTAATGAACATCTGAATGATTCAGAGGAGAACTGGGTGAAAGTTAGTGATGTCACGAACGGTTCGCTGGCGAACATAGCGTGTTCGCATTCGCCGGTTAATTAATTTACTAATACTAAGTAAAAATTACTTAGTTTTAGTAAATTGTGCCCCTACTCGCAATACCGCGAGTAGGGGCATGTCTATTAAACAGTGAGCGGCCACAGGTTTAAAAAAAAAAAGGGTCCCCCCCCAGTGGGGGCCCTAAATGTTAATAGGGGTATTGTCCTCCCCCCGGCCCCCACCCCTGAGCGGTGGGTGGGGGCCCTAAAAATACCAGTAAGGGGGGGACCTATTGTCCCCCCCGGCCCCCACCCCTGAGCGGTGGGTGGGGGCCCTAAAATGAAAAATAAGGGGGGGACCTATTGTCCCCCTTGCCCCCACCCCTGCGCGGTGGGTGGGGGCCATATTGATAATGAGGGGGGGACCTAATGCCCCCCCCCTGGCCCCCACCCCTGCGCGGCAGGTGGGGGCCATATTGATAATGGGGGGGACCCACTGCCCCCCCCGGCCCCCACCCCTGAGCGGTGGGTGGGGGCCCTAAAATGAAAAATAAGGAGGGGAACTATTGTCCCCCCTGCCCCCACCCCTGCGCGGTGGGTGGGGGCCATATTGATAATGAGGGGGGACCTACTGCCTCCCCCTCCGACCCCCACCCCTGGGCGGCGGGTGGGGGCCATATTGATGAGGGGGGACCTACTGTCCTCCCCCCCCCCCGGCCCCCACCCCTGGGCGGCGGGTGGGGGCCATATTGATAATGAGGGGGGGGACCTACTGTCCTCCCCCCCCGGCCCCCACCCCTGGGCGGCGGGTGGGGGCCATATTGATAATGAGGGGGGGACCTACTGTCCTCCCCCCCCCCGGCCGCCACCCCTGGGCGGCGGGTGGGGGCCACAAAGATAATGAGGGGGGGGACCTACTGTCCTCCCCCCCGGGCCCCCACCCCTGGGCTGCGGGTGGGGGCCCTAAGTCCCCCCCCCACAAGGTGACTAGGGGTCCCCAAGCCCCTAGTCACCCCCCCAAATAAAAAGTCCCTACCTACCCCCCTCACCCTAAAAAATAGTGAGGGGGGAATAAAATAACTAACCTGTAAAATAAAAGTAAACTTACCATTCGACGTCTTCTTTTTTCTCAAATCTTCTTTTTTCAGCCCCAAAAAAGGCCAAATAAAAAACCATCATAACCGTCGAATTGAAAATAAAATAAAAATCCCGAGCGCAAAAAAAAAAACCCGACGAAAAAGAAAAAACCCGAACGCAAAAAAATAATCCATCTTCACCCATGGAGGGCTCCGCGCAGACTCAATATGGCCCCCACCCGCCGCCCAGGGGTGGGGGCCGGGGGGGGAGGACAGACTGGCTTGAAATCCATCCAATCACAGTGCTCTGTGTCATTTTACACAGCGTGGGAAAATTCTTTGGGGGTGTTTTTCTGCTAAGGGGACAGGACAACTGCACTGCATCAAAAGGACGATGGACGGGGCCATGTACCGTCAAATCTTGGGTTACAACTTCCCTCAACCAAGGCATTGAAAATGGTTTGTGGATGAGTATTCCAGCATGACAATGACCCAAAACACACACAGCCAACGCAACAAAGGAATGGCTCAAGAAGAAGCACATTAAGGTCCTGGAGTGGCCTAGCCAGTCTCCAGACCTTAATCCCATAGAAAATCTGTGGAGGGAGCTGTAGGTTGTAGTTGCTAAACATCAGCCTCGAACCCTTAATGACTAGGAGAGGATCTGCAAAGACGAGTGGGACAAAATCCCTCCTGATGTGTGCAAACCTGGTGGCCAACTACAAGAAACGTCTGACCTCTGTACTTTGTGATTGCAAACAAGGGTTTTGCCACCAAGTCAAAGGGGTCAAATACTTATAAATAGATTTGCATGTCAATAATTGAAATTACTTTTTTGACATGCGTTTTTCTAGATTTTTTTTTTGTTTTTGTTCTGTCGCTCACTGTTAAAATACTCCTACCATTAAAATTATAGACTGATCATTTCTTTATCCATGGGCCAATGTTCAAAATCAGCAGGGGATCAAATACTTTTTTCCCATCACATACATACACATTTTAAGCGACATAGAACAACCCCACCACCAACGTGGAAGTAATTTTGTGTAGTTATTTGACCTTTTCCTTTCCTCAAAGTGTTTTTAAGATGCCTCATTAGCAAGTGGAAATCCTATTGAGGTTACCTGTCCTAAAGAAAAATGCCCTTACTGGCATGCATTAAATATACAACTTGGCATAGTTTTTTATTTATTTATTTTTGAGGTGCAGTGATGGTGATACAAGCAATCAATGATAGTGAAGACAATAGAGACACACAGGAAGTCATACTTGTCAATCTTGATCATCTGCACATTTTGTGGGATAAGGATCATGACTTTTTTTAACAAGTAAATCGATTGTGTCCCAACATTGGTTACAACAGAGGCATGTGGTCAAAGTATGTGTCGTGGACACTGAACTGGAAAATATTAACATGAGCTATCAGACATGTCTAGGTGGAAGGCTTGACAAAGACCACAAGGTTGAAACGTTGTTATCTTTGGCTTCAATAAATTTGCCATTTCTGAACCTTGAAGTGCCTGAACCATCTTTGTATTTCATGTCTAGATGGAAGACTGGAAGTGGGAAAATTGTCAGAGTATGACATGCACTCATTAAAGGATAAGAGTAATACCACTGGCACAAGAAATATTGCTGCGCCTCGCTCTGCAGGAGTGAAAGCAAATCAAAAGCAAATGAGTAATCCTAGTAGCCACGATGAGCCAAGTTAACAATATAAGAGAAACATAAAATTACTGGAGCCAATTAAATTTAAGAGTGTCATCAGGACAGTAATTATCTTTTAATCACATCACATAGTATCAGCAGATGGTTGTTAAAACCCTGTATAGACACTGGAGCAATATCCTCGGTGGCAATAAACAGTCAGCCTACACCTGAGATTGGGTATCTTGTGCAAGAGTATGAAGGTTCAGGAAGGCAATGATACCCTGGCCGAGTTGCGGAGCATCCCACGTGCCCCAGGTTGGGTTGCAGTCCTGCATCCTTGCGCCACAGACTTGAAATCCCTCAGAGTTCAAGTCCTTCCCCATTGGGGAGAAACGGAGGACCATACGAACACGGCGCAGCTGATGGCAATTTATCCTCCGTCTCTGTGTGCGATGCTTTGGGGTCATTCCTCTCTTGGCCTTCAACCCTTGTGGGCTAGTAGTTGTGGGTAGATGTGTGCCAAAAGAGCGATAGCCCTTGGGATCCAACCGAATCTTGCTCTCCTGAGGTTTCCCTTGTAGCGGAGGTGCTATGGCTACCTGCCGTCCCTCCAGGGCATCCCAGAAAACTGGTGAAGAGCTTCTCCAGCCACTCCATGAAGTTTTCTGTAGGGTTTAGATGGACCATCCCACACTGTGTGAATATGAACCAGAGTCTAAACAAACTGAATGTCATTAAAAAGAATCCCTTTCTGGTGGTGAGCTATTGGTGAGCTATTTTTATTTTTATTTAATGCTTTTTACTATCCTCCGGAACTTTCCTTATCACCTAAATATGACACTCATTCACTGCTATCAAAATTGTAGCACTTTACCAGTTCTGCTAGTAGTACATACTGCTTATATACCCTACATTTGTTCAGTTATTCTACAGCTTCATGTTGATATCTAGCCACATCTGACCATAAAAAGTTCTTAAAATGAAAGCATTTTTTTTTTTTCTTTTCGTTTGGAGAGAGAAAGTCTGGAGATGGTTACTCCAACCACCATAACCGCATTTCTTTTTGAAGTGGTCATGGTGGTATGAGTATGGGTGTGCAGTATTTTCTGCTTGAAACACTGCTCATCCAGAGTTAATTTTTTAAATTGTGTGCTGGGGGCTAGTTGTTCCGGGCTGCCTTAATGTCAGTTCTGTGAATATTTTCTGTCTGTCATCTCCACACTGTAGACAAATGCAATCTGAAAACTGAACAAGAATTAGAGCAGCGCTAAAGAAACTAAGAAGACTAGGATGGGAGGCAGCACACCTGACAATAGGGGAATCCCTCCAACCCCCAAGAAAACTAGAACAAGTCAAACAACAATATACAGGTAGCGCCAAGAACAATACTCCAATCACAATAGAATATAATAACTAGAAAAGCTACAATTTCTGAGGAAATTGAGTGAAGTGTTCTTGCCTCCACCAATAGTCTACAACTAGAGTGGGCGGAGTAACTGGGTGGAGTGGCTTGAGTAACTGTTGTGTGGTTGGAGTGGCTGGAGTAACTGTGGAAAGGTTGGAGTGGGCAGAGTAACTTTATGAAACATTGATTAGCTGTATGTTACTGTTTTTCTGTTACAAGTATAACGAATTGACTAACATGGAAATATATTTATTAAATGTGATAGTGCTCACTTTTGTGTTATCAAAACTGTAGGAATGACAGCAGTTTAGAGAATGTGTTTCATCTAGCAGCCTCTGTGTTCCAGAACACTCTGCTGGCTGCTCACACACCTGGGATCCTATGGCAACTCACTCTAGCAAGGGCAGAGAAGAGCGGTTAAAAACAAACTACCTCAAATTGCTCTCTTCACTACCGGTTGCCATCTTCAAACGGTCGTAGTTTTAAAAACTATAAATCCTACTGCGAAGAACTTTATATTGTGAGAATCACAAGACCCAGACCTACATTTTGATGCATAGGATGTCTCTGAAATATTAAAGGGACACTATAGTCACCCAGACCACTTCAGCTCAATGAAGTGGTATGGGTGCCAGGTCCCTCAGGTTTTAACCCTGCAGATGCAAACATAGCAGTTTCAGGGAAACTGCTATGTTTACATTGCAGCTTTAAGCCAGCCTCTGGTGGCTGTCTTCCGGACAGCCACTAGAGGCGCATCTGCGGCGCTGGAGGCTGAGACTGAGCTTCTATCTGTGTCCTGCCCTTTGTGTGCTGAGCTCTGGCTGGGTCACTTTCATTACCATGGAATCCATGTTTATTAGTTCTTGCATGGAAAGGCCACTTACTTTTATCTCACATATATATTATTCTGATTATGGCCAAATTTACCACCCTAACCCTAACCATCACGCAGAGCATCCATAGGAAAGCATTGAAAAATGCTATCCTATTGACAGCTTGAATGCGCGCTGCACTTGCCACGCATGCGCATTCGGCTCCGCTGACGTCGGCAGAGGGAGCTGACGTCGGCGGGGGAGGAGAGGTAACCAGCGCCGAGGGAGCCCGGCGCTGGAAAAAGGTAAGCTACTGAAGTGGTTTTAACCCTCTTTAACACTCTCTTGCTTTTGTCAGCTCCCACTCTAGTTTTGAACATTCCGCCATTCATTCCTATGGGACCAATTTTGCCACAAAAACAACGATATTTCGTCAACCATTCGGTGAAACGTTCCACAAAGTAATAGCACACCGATCAGGAACAATCCGCACGTTTCGGTATATTACTGTCTATGTAGTGTAAAAACTGTGGGAGGAGTTAGGGTGGTAAATTTGGCCATAATCAGAATAATATATATGTGAGATAATAGTAAGTGGTCTTGCCATGCAAGAACACTTAATAAGAGCAATAAAAAACACACAGGATATAAAGAGTCCACAATAAAACTTAAAAGAATAAAAAAATACCAAATGGTACAGCACAGCCTCAAAGGTGGCAATAGATCTTCTAGTACTGGTATTGGACTTTCTTGGTAGCTTCACTTAATAGCAAAATATGAAAAGGAAGCAAAAACAGAGGGGGGGGGTGTAAAAAGGTTAGCAAAATTATATGGCTATAAGACGATGACTTCCTTTGTCTTGTGGTCCACTGAGCTACTAGTATATTGACATTTTGTATTCTTTAAATTCTCTAGTATTTTTTTTAATTTTTTTTTTATCCTTGACAAAGTAATAAAAGAAAAAAATATATATATATTTTTTTTTTAAATTGACAGAGGTAATAAATATATGAAAGTGATCATGTTACATATTTCCGTATTACTTCCAGATCTATTGTATTTTATAAAACCTTTTGCAATCTCTGTTCATTTATGTGCTACTATAATTTTCTTCATTCACACTTTCCATCATGGAGTCCATTTCCGAGCACCTATACTGTAACCAGTCCTATACTAGAACTCTGAACAAACTGTTGCTTTGTCTTGTCCTTATCTTACTTGGCACTCACTAGGTTAATTGACCTCATTTCAAAACCTGCGCCTTGGATCTCATAACTTTACTGTTACATGCAACACTGGGTCATCAGACAGAGGTTGACAATTGATGCATGTGTGGGAGCTTTTTTCCGTGAAGCTGAAAGATTTGGGAAAGCTCATATTCCACAGCGGGTGTCTGTCCCTGCCTTGGCAGGTGTGTCCATAACAATAGGGGTAAAAAAATTAAATAAATACATTCCCCAGGAGTACAAGAATGCTTTTCATTAAAGCAAATGAGGGGAAAAAGAGTTCTGAACCAATTTAATTTGAAGCATGGTAGCCACCCTCTTTAGCAACTTCCTTCTTCAATTTTTTTTTTTTTTTTATAATGATAAAAAAATTTTTTTTAAAAAAAATCCCAAAACTGTAACAGCTGTCTCCATGGCCGGTCAATAGAGAAAATGAAAGAAGAATCATTGTTTCATTTGAAGGCAGCGGGAAAACTTGAGCTCTCATGTGGAACATTTTCCCTGTTTGATGTAGGATTGAGGTATGCGGCCTGTAAAAGAACTATTCACACTGGTGTTGAAAAGCTGTGAACAAGATTTGTATAGTGTGGCTGCCTCCCAAAAAAATGTCCATCTACTTTATTTTCTTATTTTTTTTCTTTTTTTTCCTGTAGCTATTCTTGAAATCAAATGAATGTGTGCATATGTATACATACCCATAACGTGTGCAAATATTTTGTGCAAACAATATAATCAAACAGATCGTAATATACAACAGAAACAGATCATTCTTAGTGACAGATCAGCTTCTGTGCTGGGTAATTGGACATGCTTTTCAAGTGTCCTGGATCCAGTGAGAGTAATGTCCTGCTTTAGTTTCTATGGGAACCCAGAGAAAGTCAGAGATATTGCCATAAGTACATACATTTACAAACTGCAAGTGGATCATGCATGTAGATTGTTAACCTGCCTCATTTTAAGCCATATCTCTGCTCAGTGTTGGGTGTTACATTAAATCCAGGTGAGCTGCAGTAACTTCATGTGACGGTCACCCCGAGAGTAGAGGGGTATATGCCGCCATAGACTTCCTTTTCCATTAGTTGGAGCAGTGCTGCCGTGTTCGCCAGTTGATATCTCAGCTGACCAAGAATCCAATATAGCTGTGGAGCTCTTACAAGAGCTAGTGGTATAGCTGTATAGCTGTTCCCTACAATCACGAGACAAGGCTACATTTTGAGGGTTAAGCAGGAATTAATTTTAATGGTGCCACACTGGCCTTTTATGACAATCCCCATGCAAGGGGTATGCACACATAAACCTTGTTGGGGACTCCAACACAAAGACACAGACCAATAAGAACAGTGATTAAATGCACGACACTCCCATGACAAACATACAATCCCTCCCCTCTGCCAGGGTGATAACTGAGTCAGATACTATATCAATTCAATTATCTCCAGGCAGAAAAAACACATATTTTACAAAACCCCAAAAGTACCCCAAATACATAAGATATTACCACAATTGTTACATTCCCTAGTAGCCCTGATCTTGGTGACAAACATATCCAAAAATCACCCAGATCAGTTCAGGGGTTCAAGAATTCTATGTAAGTCATATTTTGAACGACCGCACACATGGTCCCATGCCCAAAACTGTTCCAGAGAATCAGGCTGTGTGAAATCCTGAATGTAGCCATTCGTGGATAAAGTCATTATATGTCTCTTGTTCGTGAGTTTCTTTTTACCAAACGCCGTTCAACTCCCGTTCGAATAGCCGAACATCCATGGAAGGTAAAGTTTTAGTGGTGTTCGCACCATCAAGTATCCGATTTTGAGTTCCATGAACTCGACGACCAAACACCGCTCATTGTACTCGCAGCTTAAGATGGTCGCCGCCACGTGGTTGAATGGCACTTCAAATGGCTTCGAGAGTTCTGGAGTTCGAAGTGCCACTTCGAAAGTTTGAATGGTTCCTGTTACCAGTCCCAACTGGCGAAATGAATACAAATAATGTCCTGTTCACTCTGGTATATATTTTCTATCAGCCGAATTTTGGGTTGGAGTAGGGACAGTGTGTTGGGGTTCTGTATGGGTTAAGGGTTAGGATTAGTATATTAGGACAATGGGGGGTAGGGTAAGCATAGTGTAGTGGTTAATAAAACCGGTTTAGTATTGTCCCAAAATGCCTGTAAAGAAAAAAACTAAAGTGTTGAATTATGATGCTAACCTATTTAATTGTTTAACATCCATTTATTTTTATAAGGAATGCTCACATATTTGTATTTCTTCTTATAGATACATTAACAAATTTAAAAAGTGTGTTTTAATAGTGTTTTTTTTTTTTTAATTATTATTATTTATAGGTGCATTGAGCAAAAATTCAAGCGCTGCCCACAACTTCAAACCACTAGTGTAATCATCGTGTTTCATAACGAGGCCTGGTCAACCCTGCTCCGGACAGTGTATAGCGTTCTACATACATCACCCGCAATATTGCTAAAAGAAATCATTCTTGTGGATGATGCTAGTGTGGACGGTAAGTACATACTTTCCAAGTGTCCCACTTTAGGTGTCAGTCACTATTTTGGGCCTATATCTCTCTGTACCTCTTTTTTGGTGTGCCTGCATTTATAACTGCATTCCAAACCACAATAATACTCGCAGTAACGTGTCTTTAAACAGTAAATGTATTCGAAATCAATTTGTTTAAATTGTTCTTGTTCTAAATTAAGTTTTAGTTGCATGAATTGTTTGTAAGCCACCTCAAACTTATTAGATTAGTCCACCCCTGGTAACACTCACACTACCTAAAGTTATTTGTCCATTGTAAGTAAAATGAATGAATTAATCTCTTAAATTATTTTTTGCAAGTCAATAAGGATAAGATGGAGTATAAATAATGCAAAGTAACGTAACATGGCAGGTACAAATACCTAATGCAAAGCCTCTGTTTGTGTGCATCAGTGTGGATTCCCCTTATTGACTTATTGGGAAAGGGGCTAGAGGCCAGAGGCCAGAGTGTGGGGCTCTGTAGCTCTGCATCTTTTTATTTATTTTTTTGCCCTCTCTGCAGCGCTTGGGGCGCTACCTTGAAATGCATCAGTAAGCCATGCAGAGGCGTGCCTTTTATAGGCTAGTGGGTAGATTGCTCAGATTATAGATGGACACCAGAGAACCGCTTTGTGACTTCTCTGAGCTGTGGGTAGTTCGCTATTTTAACCTGCGGCAACACCGATGTTCTGAAATTAAAAGCCCAAAGCTTGTGACAGCCACTGCATGAAGTCTTCTGCTCCTCGCAGAGGGAGAGACGGGAGGCTGTATACACAATGACCACCAGGGTTTGTTGTGATGTCCCCCTTCCCTGCTTAAAGGTAATTGGAATGAGGGTTATTGATTATACACACAGACACTCCCTCTCTTCTTCCCCACTCTTGTCTTCCCCTCCTCTCTCTCTCTCTCTCTCTCTCTCTCTCTCTCTCTCTCTCTCACCTTTTAATTAAAATGTCTCTAATAAACAAATTAAAACAATATCTCACCCCCATCCACATACTACATCCCCTCCACACATGCTCACTCTGCCTTACCAACAAAAACACACTACATCCCATACTCTGAAACAATCACACTGTGTCCACAATACACATACACTGCATTCCTTACACAAACACACTACATCCAACATATGAATTGCTTGTGCTTGTCTGTGTGTGTGTGTGTGTGTGTGTCTCTATGCTTGTGTGTAGCAGTCTGTGTATGTCTGTCTCTGTATGTGTGTGAGTGTGCTAAGAGATGTGTTAAGCAGTGAAATTAAAGTAGGGTAGGGTTAACTTTGGGGAGGGACCAGAGATGGAGCTTTATTAAATAACAAAATATTAAACAACTTTGAAAAAGCTTATCCGCAAATATTAAATTAAGGCCTATATTGGTTTCCATGATGACTACTCCTGATCACTTTATCAAATAATACTGTTTTTCCCTTGATAAATGTAATAGGGAGTGGAGCTCCACAGTTAGCTTTTTATTTATTTTCCCTTACATTATTTTATAATCTTTTTTTGTCTCTTTTTGCAACTCTAATTAGCTGGTTTGAGCAGGGCCCTTATCTACCTATTGTTCCTGTGTCATTGTGTGATTGTCTTTTATTGTAAAATTCCCCCTTTGATAATATTGTAAAGCACTGCGGAATTTGTTGGCGCTATATAAATGCCAATAATAATAATAAAAACAACCCCATACCAAAACATCTGTTAAGTTCTCCTGGATCCTTAGACTGCCTAAGACCGGGGTCCTCAAACAATCTTCCCCCCCTCCCCCCCCCGGCCCCAGATGTTGCTGAACTCCAACTCCCATGATTCTCTGGCTATCTATGTAATTCAAAGAATCATGGGAGTTGTAGTTCAGGAACATCTGGGTGGCCGGAGTTTGAGGACCCATGGCCTAAGATATCAGTTGTTACTGAAAACTGCAACATTTTAAATGCTTCTTTCCTGTAGCAAAGAGTACTACATGCCACCAAGAAGATTAGATACTTTGTTGTTTTACAGTAATATATTACCCATATTCACAATTTGCTATTGATGTGCAAAGATTCTGTGCGAAAGAAGTAGATAAAAATGCAGTTTACATGTAACTATTGAGAGTTTAATAAAAACAAAACAAAACAGTCATTTGGGCATCTGCCTCTAAAAATCTCATCTCCAGCTTGGAGTGTCCCTTCAAGTTTATTGCACATAAGGACTGTAATGGTTATTCTATGCAGCACCTTCAATCCCTAGGTCCTCTGCAGAACAGTCTGTCAGACAGAAGCAAATGTGATACATTTATTTTACATTGTCAATGAAACGAAGGACTCCACTAGGTCTGTCAGGGCCTCTTTGACAAGACTTGTTTATTAAGCATCCAATGTATCTGAGATGATTAAAAGGATTCGGTTACTAGAATGAAACTGCTACAAAGGAGTTCATTTTCTAGATTTGAACAGAACAGGGTTTGTGCATTTTAAAAAGACACTTGGAGTTTCTAGCAAAAAATACATAAAACATTTGTTTCTTCCAGATTTCTCTAATAGAAAATTAAATAAAACCACGAAACTAAAAATACATATCTACTCTAAAGCTTTTAACTCTTAACCAAAACTTTGTTGCATGCTCAAACACTTTTTAAATTTTTTTTTTTTATTAAAGACTAATGTGTGAAACATGTATTATCAGGAAAATAATGGCATTGAGGGGGTTTGGAGATGTCAGAATAAATAAGACCAAAGCTCACAGATCACAAAAATAAAAAATTGTGCGTATGTATGTGTGTTTAAATAAAGTGCAATTGTACTCGCAAAACAATTACTTTTGAAAGCTTACCTGCAATGCAAGTAACATTTACTCACAGCATTACCTTTTCATAGAGTGCAGTAAGTCTATGAGCAGTTATTCCTAATATACTATTGGGGTAATAATTTATAGGTATTAACATGTATAAATGAAGGGCAAAGGGACTGAACAATCCAAATCTGCCTTAATTGCACCAACTAAAAAAAGGAACCCTCCCTCCTCCCGCCCCCACCAAAGATGGTTGTGTAGGCAAGTGCTTTGCATTTTTCATTATAAGGTCATTTGGGCAATGCCCTCCTAAATTATTTTTTTTGTATGTCAGACATGTTTGGTTAGAACTGTTTCATGTTTTGTACAGTGCTGTGGAATATGTTAGAAATCAATCAATTGCATGTCGTTTTTATGCTGTAATTCAAACATTATCATAAGGTATCTTGGATCTACTTTCCTAAATCTACCTGCTGTATTTTGTAATGCAAATGCTCGTATTTTGTTCCCCTGCACAGATTACTTGAAGGAGCCCTTGGACAATTATGTGAAGTCTCTACAGATTGTGAAAGTTGTGAGACAGGTAGAACGAAAGGGCTTAATCACTGCACGGTTGCTGGGTGCAAGTGTTGCCACGGGAGAGGTTCTGACCTTCCTGGATGCCCATTGTGAGTATTTACAAGCGGTTTGACCTAATTTATAAATGTTTTGAACATAGAAAGGAAGGCTATTGTGTTTCCTGTAAACCTGTCTAAAATCAAATTGTGTCTATATTCATTTAGCTATTTTTAAAAAATATATATAGTCATTATTTCTCTCTGTGAAAAAAACAAAACAGCCTCACTTGACACATAGCCACAAAAAGTCTATCATGATCTGTAGATTCATAATGTATTTTAGCAGTCACTTTTTTTTTTTGTGTGGAAGTCAGGTCCCTCACAATTAAGACAACCAACTCCTGTTGATTGTTCATTTTTTGTAGAGGTTGATAAAATAAAAAAAAAAACAAAAAAAAAAAACAGGCATTGTATCTTTCTTACCTTTAGCCTGGGAGGGGGGACCATGCTGCCAACCCTGGTGGTGAGTGAACTCTTGTTCTGTAGGGCTGGAGTTCACTGTCACGAGACCCGGACCGTTGCCATGGCAATGCTCTGGATCTCGCAAGAGGAACCCGGTGGAGCTGCGAGATAAGAGCTCCTCCAGGTCCTCTCCTGTCTTCCTCCCCAACCGGCGGCTGCATCACACTGCATGTTGGCCGGTGAGGGAGATCTTTGATCTCCCCACCGACCCGTCCTAGAACACAGTGGGGCCGGTGCTCTGATAACGCAGGCCCTACATGGACCGCCGGGGAGATCCTCTGACCTCCCCTGCCGGCCTCGACTCGATGTCCAGGCCTGGTTGTAGTCCATAAATAACATAAAATAATATGTAATATATCAGTTCAACAATAGTGGGTGTAATAAAATAACAATGCGTTACTCACACTTAATGGAGCTATAGCCAGCTCCAGTGTGTAGAGCGTACAGTGGTATAATCCCCACTTACATGATATGATTTAGGAGTCCTCAATAGCAAAGGTGCCAGAAACCCAGAAAAAATAGAAAAGCAACAAATAGCACTCTGTATGGTGAAATAAGGTTTAAAACCATAGGAATTCTAAAACCTACGTACCCTTGTAGGCAATAACTTTTCACTTGTTTTAGACCTTTTCTGTTTGATTCAGAATTCCACCTGCACGTACTACTAAAGTGTACCTTTTACTCAAGAGTATTTTGGGACGTTTTATTGTTCTATCTATTAACAGACTTTTTTTTATTCCTGGTAGTAGATGTCTATATTTGTGTTTTTTGCTCTTTTCGATCTACTAAAGGGTTTTAGAGGGATCCCCTTATTATGGTTGCTGTCCCTTCGTTCTCTGTTAATTAGCGCTGATCTTTCTGCTGTTAGTGCAAAACAATGTCTTTTGAGTCCTAATTGGCCGGATTGCTTTTGGCAATGCACACGTGTACCAAAATACCAAAGGAATGTTTCCAGACCATTTTTGGATGTATACTTTGAAATTCTTATCCTTAATGCAAAAGGGTGCCCTATTTTATGATAACATGTCCATTAATTGTATGCACATATATAATCTAAAAAGTCTTGGACTAAACATAAAAATCTTATTTTAAAAAATGTATTTGGTCACTTAGAATATACATAACTCTTTAATTTCCATGCCTTGTTTTTACGGTTAAACAGGTGAATGTTTTCATGGCTGGTTGGAGCCTCTCTTGTCCAGAATTGCTGAAGATCATACTGCTGTTGTAAGTCCAGATATCACAACTATTGACTTAAACAGCTTTGAATTTTCCAAACCAGTCCAATATGGCAAGCAGCACAGCCGGGGGAACTTTGATTGGAGCCTTACATTTGGCTGGGAACCTATACCTGCGCATGAAAAAGCAAGAAGGAAAGATGAAACATACCCTATTAAGTAAGGTTCATAATGGTTTATTTACTTGATTGCCAGTTGGATTATTATTGAATATGCCTAGGTTTCTAGTGCACACTCGAGAGAATGTCTATTGTATGTTCAGCATATATTTTTTGGGTTTCAATTTGGCTTTATCCTCTACACATTCCTAAATAAGTATAGGTTTTAGGATTACATTGTCCAGGTGGCAAAAATCACTCAACCAAATAGTTTAGCATCCTTACAAAATCGTGGCTACTCTTGCAATCTAGTTTGTGTGCTTGTAAGGCAGGGTTCACAAACCAACTGTAACCCAAGACATTCTTCTCAATCAATGAGACTTTGTCTTATGTTTCTGACATACTTATTGCATTCTAATTCTTAAACTAAAAGGGGTGGTATGCAGTAACTCTTTAATGAAACAAAGGGGAAAAAAAACCTTTCTTAAAAATACTTATATTTAGATGTGTGAGCATATCTCTATGTATATTACTTGTAGACCCCAAGACTGCAGATAAATTGTAATTTTCATGGTTAAATGCTGTAATGCCATTGAAATTATTTTGCGTGTACATAATGTTAATACACAGGCATTCAAATTCTCACCCACTCACTGCACACAGTCCATAACCACTCTCCAGAGTCCAGCATACAACTACCACCTCCTTCTCAAACCAGTACTAGTGGAAAATATAGTTGACATGACTATGGATCCTTGACAAACAGCATACTATTGGAATTAAACAATTGACAATTCCAAGATCCTGTCTCCTGTGAAGGACCTCTTACTTAAATAAAACTCAAAAATTGCACCTTGGTCACAAGATGAAACCTCTGTACCTGAAATTCTATCGGTCCCACAGGAGTCTGGGAGTCTTTAGCCATTGACATAGAGTACATGAGTTTGGATACTAAAATTATTTTTTTCACAATAGATTTAAAAATGGGACCTATTGACTTTAAGAGGTAAAATTATAAGATCCCCTGATGCGATTTTTAAATACAACCTATGTCTGCTATGGATAATTAAGAAAGCTTTTTTTTTTTTTTTCTTTTTTTTTCATGCCAAGAATGTTATATATGTTGCTTACATATGTATGCCTTTTTATTTTTTATTATTTTTATTTTATTTATAAAGGCCATAGTGTCTCTGTAACATAATCTATTGTATCCCACATTCACAAGATTCTTAGAAAAGATTGTCGTTGTTGTTGTTTTCTTATTATTTTACCTGTGCTTTTCATGTTTCATGTTTCCTTTTGTGGTATTGGCTCCACATCCTATTTTGAGGTTTTTATTTATTTATTTTTTATATTTTTATTATTTATATTTTTTACATCTACATCTTATTTAACCCTTGCTGCCTCTTCCTGATTCTCTACCCAAACACCTCTCTTTCCCCAGAGGGTGTTACTCGTTTTTATACTTCCTGACACTTCTTGCCAGTACCAAAAACAGGTTATTGGGAATGGAAAACCCTCTATTTACATTTTGACCCTTGTCAAGATATACTTCATATTCAGTTGCCCCTATAGTATGTAACGCATCTGCTTATGGTGCATTCCCTACTGCTTGTAGTAGGTGTGCTGTTTTGATAATCCGTTATTACCTTGGGTTAAAACTGATCATAGGATGGTACTACATGCAATAATAATAGAATGACTGTGGATTATGTTAGTGTCATTTCTTGAAAATCCAGTTAGTGAAATGCAACACTAACTGTAACTACCCAGATTCCATTTTACAAACAATAATTACAGGAAGCTCTTAGTACCTAGATTAAAGGAGACTGTAACCTTGTTTCAATGAGAAGGTCATTTAAAGCCAAGTAAGCTTTGTTTAGACTTTAAGCAACCTTGTATAAAGCGGTTTTTAATTAGTGTTTTATAGTTCATGTTTTTGAAATAACATCTGATGTTACTAAATGATATCTTTGCTGTCGAAAACAAGCTTTCTCACTGTTTATGAAACCTGTAGAATATTCTTTAAAGAGCATGCTGTTTACAGATATTATGCGTTTACTTATAATGTTATTTACTAAACATGCAATTAATGGGGTTTTTATCATAAAAATGCAAATTTTAGGACCAAAAAGAGCTGGTAAATTTTCCCTTTTTCCAATGTGTCTATTCTGGTCTTAAAATTTTAAATCTAAATTCTCTCATTAGTTTCTAACAGTTAGTGGCAAAGGCAGTGTTTTAAATAATAGGTGTTATCAATATCTGTAGGCTGTTTTAGCAGCAGCAAAAAAAAAAAGGAGAAATCTAAAATTGTATGCATAGGAGAGACAATTGAGGATGTCATAGTAAAACATTCAAATATATAACCATAACCGTGACAACTAAAATAATTGCAACTTCTCAATAAAATGTCGGTATCGAGCACTCAACTACAACTAGGTGTAGTTTCCATAAGACTCCTGTTATTCAAATTGACCATTCGTTGTGCTTTACATCTCTCTAATAATATTTTTCCCATTTTTATAACATTGGCTGCAAAAGCACAATTTGCACTTTTCTAAGCTTATAGGCTATATTATGGCGTGAGCTCAGTTTCAGTGAGCAGGTAGAACCTGTTTTTATGTTAATTACATTATAATTGTTCCTCATGAGGGTTTTCTCAAATATATTCTAGGTCTCCTACTTTTGCTGGAGGTCTTTTTGCAATCTCCAAGGCTTATTTTGAGCACATCGGCTCTTATGACGACCAAATGGAAATCTGGGGAGGAGAAAACGTAGAAATGTCTTTCAGGGTAAGGACTGGTAATATGATTTAGTTTGTGATATGAAGACCATTCTCTCCGTTAATCTAAAACAGGCATAGGCAACCTTCGGCACGCCAGATGTTTTGGACAACACCTCCCATGATGCCAACATTATGGGGGTGTAGTCCACAACATCTGGCGTTCCGAAGGTTGCCTACCCCTCATTTAAATAATCATGCCCAGCTCTCCATTAACTTTGTTGCAGTGTTAATTTCTGTAACCATATAAATCTCCTCTTACCTCTGAGGATGTTCCGTTTAGATTGTAAGCTCCTAGTGGCCTATTGTTCCCATATGTCATGTGCGTTTTGTTAGAATTAAATGTGTTTTGCTTACCTATTGTACAGTACTGCACTATATAAATAATTGTAACTGTTAAATATTGTCACTAGTCCTTCTGAGCTCGCAGTTTTAGAGGTAGGTTGTCTGACCAGGAGCAATAGTGCAAAATAACAGTCAGTTTATTACCAGAAACATTTTATTCTGTATGGTAATTTTTTATAAGTGGTCAAGTCTAGTGATTCACAAAAAACTGATCCATATGATTCCCATTGAACAAACTCAGTCACTCTTAATGTGGTGGTTGCTTGATCACACCCAGAGCAGTGTGGTTCTGTTGGAACTGACCCTGCAACAGAATATATCCTGGGAAAACATTGGCTGTTTAAGACTTTTATGTGAGCAGTATTTTAACATACCTATTGCTGGATAATGGATTTAGACTGTCAATCCAGAATTTACCTAGATATAATTCTCCTATATACTGCATAACACTCATCTTACTTGTCACCTATATATATTGATAATGTATGCCCACAACACTATGTCCCTGAATAATTTAATAGGATACTATAGGCACCAAAACAACTTTAGCTTATTGAAGTGGATTTATTGTATAGACCATGCCTCTGCCGTCTGACAGTTATTCAAAACTAATTTACTTACTTTTTCTTAAGCAATATTGCAATATATCAATTTACAAGTGCAAATAAGGAAATATTATTTTATTTAATGTCACAGTTGGGGGATCGAGATCTAGACCTTCTACTTCTCCATTTGAAAATATTTTTTTTGTATCTAAATTAAACAAGCAAAAGTGGTTACATGTACTGTAGTACATTCATACATTGTAGTGTCTTTTTCACATCTTTGATTAATCCTATTTTATCTGGGACGGGTACCGTGCCAAATAAAATTCTTCTCTTCTGAAACAACCCTTTGTCCTCTTGGCATCTTTAAAAGGAAGCAAGGACATAAAATAGAGGGGGTTTCTTTTCTTTAAAATAATGACTCTACAGTTGTATTGTTTTTAACTGTGTTCATGGGTTTCTGTCAGGATCCCTCGCAGTAGGAAGAATGCTTGCAGCAATAGACATCAACTGGTCTGATAGAACTGCAACTTAAAACCTCCAAAATAATTATTTTTATTAGTTGTTAATGAGATGTGTTTTCTTAAAATAGCTGACCATTCCTGCATGCCCAGATAGCTACAAATACATACACACATAGCATCTTTGTGTTTGTATCTGTTGTTTTACTGTTACCCCAGATAAAAACCCAGCAGGCCTATGTAGTCTAGTTGGTGAAAACATGGTACTTGGTGTTTTGGTGCCAATCCCCTAAAACAAAAAGTGCAAGTAGTGCGGCGCTTAAAAGTGTATTAGAATATAGTAAACAGGGACAAGATAAATATAGTGGAAAAATTGTAATACAACTGTGGAAATCTGTATGAAGGTGAGTGAAAATAAACTCACATGTTGTAGAGCCTTTTAAAATATAGGCTCTAAACTTTGTAGCTTGTGTAGCATACACACCCTCTTTTTCTGGATGTTCAGATTAGTTGTTCCCCATATAATATACAGAAAAATTGAGAAATAGCTCCTAAGTGCAGTATGTTGGTTAAGGGTAGTGAATAAAGCACACTTTTGTGGCTTCAAGTTACAATACATTAGTGTCTATTTAGGGTGACACTCCCACTGATGGAACCCGGTAGAGGAGTCAGGATCAAGATGTTAAAGTGCACACAGCGTATATTAAAATATATAATAAAATCAAAATAAAGACTTAAGATAAATAAAACAAAGTATTACTACAATATTGAGTCCTTGGATCCTATGTAGTCTAGTTAATTCTATTCCAATCACAGGTTCTGGGTTAGGCAAACCCACAAACTCCAGTTACTGTTTACCAAGCTCACTAAATCCGCATGGATCACTAGGAGTTCTAAAGTACAAAGGACACTTGTACAATAGTGGAATGTTTCATTTCTAACCTGTGATTGGATATCTGATAATATGGGATTGCCCACCACGGGTACAGTAAAACTCCTGACTTAAATCAGTGGATTAGTAATTTAGATCATGGATAGTGGAAAAAAAATATTCAAAAAGAAATGTTCCCTTAGACAATGTGATTTGATATTTGTAGGGATGTTCTACATTAAATGGAATTATTTTTTTTTTTCTTTAAAGGTCTGGCAATGTGGTGGACAGTTGGAAATTATACCTTGCTCTGTTGTGGGCCATGTTTTCCGTACAAAAAGCCCTCATTCATTTCCCAAAGGTACTCAGGTAATCTCTAGAAACCAGGTCCGGCTTGCTGAGGTCTGGATGGATCGCTATAAGGAGATATTTTACCGGAGAAACCAACAGGCAGCAAAAATGGTGCGAGAGGTATGTCAAAAGAAAATCTGTTTGGAGCGCAGATACAGAAACCATAGGGATCCAAATTAAAACGTGTGGTTTCCTGGGTAAAATAATTTGTTCTCAAATGAAAAGTCAAAGAATCAAAAACAACTTCCATCATAGCTTTGTATTGTTTTACTCTTACAGTTTCTTTCTATCGACTTCAAAAACAATGACAAACTAATTATTCTACAGATGTAATAACTACTTATTCAATTTTTAGGCAATTGTGGCGTATTGGACACTGATTTGTAAGGGTTTGTTTGTTGGATCTTGAAATTTAATATTGGCACATTCACCCCATTCATTATTACGTCGTTTTTTATATATATATATATATATATATATATATATATATATATATATATATATAGAGATAGAGATAGAGATATAGATATATATATATATAGATAGATCTATTTCTAGCTATCGTGTTGGCTTACTGTTTCTGGGAAATTAAGGTAGTGTGCAGATCAGGATACTGAAGCCAACTATAATCTTTAGCAATAAAGAGTACATAGACTGCCCTCTAATGGCAGAGAGGTTGAAGGGAACTCAAAAACATGCAGCGAATTGTCATCTTGATTCCCGATCAATTGTCAATACACCAAGCCCTTTGATCTCTTAATATTTAACTTCAGTAAGTAATGTTTGTTTTTTGTTTTTTCATTTTTTTTTTTTTTTTTAGAAAAGCTATGGGGATCTTTCTGATCGATTGAAACTAAAAGAAGATTTAAGTTGTAAGAACTTTTCGTGGTACCTGGAGACTGTTTATCCTGAGATTTTCATACCTGATCTGTCACCCACATACTACGGAGCAGTGAGTGCATTTTATTTTCAAATTCTTTTATTACGTTTTTACGTTTTTTTTTTTGTATCATGAAAGTTTATAACATACCATGGCAATGCATTTCCCAAGCTATAAAAGTAAAATTAACAAAAGGAAAAGAAAGGCTATTAAAATATTGTAACATTTTTCACGTTTTTATGAATAACGTTTTTCTTTTATAGTACAAATTTTTTCCATGAGTTACATTGACCTAATGTATTTTATTTATTTATTTATTTATTTTTTTGAGAGTCTTATTGACTTTGCAGGTGCTGACTTAATAATTTGTTCTTCTTCCAGATTAAAAATGAAGGAACACAAAATTGTCTCGATGTTGGTGAAAATAACCATGGAGGCAAACCACTCATAATGTACCCATGCCATGGAATGGGTGGGAACCAGGTACAAAAGTATTTTTGTAACTAAAACTGCAACAGTTATTCAACCGTTTAAACATTTGTAACCATAAGGGACGGTGCATGTAGGAAAATGAACACATTTTAATATATTCCTTATCCTAAAGTCATCCTTTATGCAGAACATCAAAGTCCTTTATATTTATATATATATATATATATAGTGTGATAGCCGACTGTGGTGCATGTTTTTTGACGACTTTGACTTCTATTTTACTATTTTCCTCTTAAATCTCTGTGTGACCAGTTTGCTCCATTGGGTTTCTTTTGAAGCCTGCAAATTCAATGATTTGTACATTGATGGCTTAGTCAACTCGGACATTCACCAGGGGCAAGCAGGTTTTTTGCTAAGTTGAGCTGCTCTCTATTTACTGAAATAAATTGTGATTTGAACTTGCAAAACACACAAACACTAAAGACTACTTGGGAACTTGTGGATTAGTCGAACACTTTTTCTGCCATGTGCAGTACATTTTCCCCATCACAAGTTCTATTGAAATCAAACTAAATACTGAATGAATAATCCTCTGCATTTCTGCCCACCTAATCCCTTATTTATTGCAGCATTTAGCAGCTTATAAAGAAAACATTTCAAATTGGTTGGTGGTGAAGGTTTAAATTACTTTTGCCAATTTTACTTGCAGTGTTCACAACATGTAAACTGAGATATATTCCATACTTCTTTTGTCTTCTACCGAGTGTTTCTTTTATTTTGTTCTAGTACTTTGAATACACCACTCAGCGTGAACTGCGGCACAATATCGGCAAGCAGCTATGTTTGCGTTCCAAATATGGCCCTGGTCAGGTGGAGCTCGGTGAATGTCAGTACAAAGGAAGAGGGACAACAGTGCCTGGAAATGAAGAATGGGAACTGACAAAGGTATGAGCCACCACACATCCAAGAGATTTTTTAGTTATAGACTCAGAATTGTGTATATTCAGTTTGGCAAAGCAGATAGCTTTAAAGAAGTAATTTATCCCTATAACATTTATAACCTGATATTATGTTCATACTGTCATTGTCTCATGTTCTAACGAAATGCTATGAATAGGTTATGACATTTTGTTCTAATTAAAAACCTTTCTCCTTAGGATCGTCTACTTAGAAACGTTGGCTCAAATATGTGCCTAACATCTCGAGGGGAGCATCCATCGACTGCACCATGCAATTCAGTAGACCTTCACCAGAGATGGGGCTTCAGCTAAACCATTTGAATAAAAACAGCTGCCAGAGAGTGAATTACGTTTCATGCAGTGACTTTTTTTTATTCCACTGGACCTTAGACAAGAACATTTCTGAAGACCTAAGTAACCAATTCCCTTTATTGTTTACCAGGGGACATTGTGTGTGTTCTGCCACTGTTTTGTTTACTACTAGAATTGTGCCTTGACAGTTGAGTAGATTGTAGAAAATTTACTTACTGTACCTTCTTTAATTATTATTATTTTTTTTCTCTAAAATCTGCCTAAAGTAGGACTTGGAACTCTAAAGTCTTTGGTTGTTGGATTGTTTGTTTTTTTTTCAAATGGATGATTTTAGGGGTTTAAAACCAGCACATTATTACTTATATACAGAGTACATTTTTTTTTTTTTACTTTACACTACACATTTGCTCGGTTACTTGATTTATTCTTGATCTTGTAAAATCATAGAAACTGTCTCGAGATGAAGACAACTTGACAGGCACTCATGTTCTATGTAGCGGTACTCAAGGTTATCTAGTTAACCTGCTGAATTAGACTCCGACTTGGGGGTATGTAAGATTACCCTATGAATGAAGGAACAGCTGAATCATGGATTTTAGGGAATTTCCACTTTGGCTGTCTTCTTAGCTTTGAACAAGAAAAACCTTATCAATATGTAATCCTTGCTGTGGGGAGAGAGATAAACCAGAGCACAAGAACCATCGACAAAAACCCACCTTCAGTAGTGAGTACTGTACTTTTGAGAACTTTTCAGAAGAGCAAACCTCTTCAAACAATGTGCCAACTACTGAAAGGCATGCTACTCTGTTTACCCAAGTCAGCATTTGCACATCATGTCACAATGAAAATTTGCTCCATTAGCCACTGCTTGGGTAACAAACACAGATTGGTTTTTAGCAAACAATTGTTTTTAACGTTTTAAAGACTGTTAACATGTTCTCAAAGACAAAGTGTGTGTATTTTTGTTAACATTGAGCAAAAGTAACAGAACACATGACTGAATCACTGTGACTCAAAAATCAATCAATTTGGCCTTAAGGACTGTGCCTAAATTAGGCATTCTCTGACGCATAATTCATGTTTTGTATTTATATTATGTCAATCAATGTATACTAAATGTTAAAAGTATTGTGGCAACTAGTTACAACACTGGACTATTGGCGAAAATAAAAATTCATTCATTCCCATATTTTTTTCCCTTAGATTAAAAAGAAATAGATTTTTCAGGTTTTTTTTTTTATATTATGTTTAAATTTTCTCATGTGTAGATTCCCTCAATTACTGTTGGTGCCCTCAAACTGGCGGACTTCATTAAAGAGTGTGTCAATGCTTCTATAAGTAACAATGGTTTCTCTAGTCGAGATTGCTGACTATAGGAAGTGAAACAAAATACTTTGGCATACCAGTTTTGCAACTGCAGCAACGTTTGTTCAGCAGAACAGACACATTTATTATTATCCCACAATGGCTTGCTTACGTGAAATGCATTATTATTTCAAGTTGTGAAACTGGCCCTTATTGTTATTATTACTGGTTTTTATAAAGTCCCAATATATTCCACAGCCCTGTACAATAAAGGGGGAGGAGGGGGAAATACAGTATAGACAAACCAATAAAAAAAAAAGAATAGAGGACCTTGCCCATAAGCGGAGATCTAAGATTTACAGCCCTTTTATACAGGGTGGGCCAAAGCTTGAATTTCTGCATGGGTATTTTTATTGAGCTGCTCCAGTGTACATGGTTTGTTTACATACACCACTCCTTCAGATATCTCCACATAAAGTAATCGGGAACTGAAAGTTCGGGTGAACGTGTTGGCCAATTAATTTGGAAATTTCTTGAAATTATCTGCTCACTGAACAGTTGTCTCAGGAGGTCCATTGTGGCCATGGCTGTATGGGCAGTAGCCCCATTATGTTGAAACCACATTTCTGGATGATTTTCCACCAAAGGACATAACATCTTCAATCCTAAACCTGCTATTTTGAAAATAAAATTCCACTCTTTTTTTTTTTTTTTTTTTTACTTGTTCCTTCATGAAATTTCCTGTGCCGAATCTCCCAAGACTCAGTTCTAAATGGGCCTGCAACAAAGAAATGTAGCTACTAAAAACAAAGTTATTTAATTCTAAGCTAGAAGGCCCAGAAGCTTACAATCTAAAGTTTATGATGGGCACTTGTTTGTAACAAGAGGGAGCAGGGGGACATTTAAAGGTAATGGACAAAGGAGCCTTGGAGCATTTGTACAGACTCCTAACATGTGATGTAATAGGAAGATGTCAAACACCAGGAAAAGCATGGTTTAAAGGCAATATAAAGCAGAAACCAGGGTGGATAGGTTGCTTGGAGGTGCTCAGTGTGGCGGAACAGACCTCGCCACGTGTTCTTGGAGGGGGCTGCTTGCCTGCCTCCTACCTTCTGACTATGGCCCTGGGATATATGGCATTTGAAAACACTATTTGTGCCCTGTGACAAAACTGGAGATTGTGCACAAATATGATTATTGTCCATATTTTTTTTATGATTCCCTCGGTTTGTTGCACTGTTCCCCATGTGTTTCATCTGTTGGTTTGGCTGGATAGACTACCAGACAAACTGTGGAGTTACTGGGTGGCCACCATTTCATGTATCAGAGGCACATGGTGAGAACAATGGATGAAGCACATGGTGAGAACAATGTATGGCGGCCATTTTAACTCACAGACACTGTTTTGACTTTTCTACATGGTGCCATCTCGTCAGTATTTGGTGCACAAAGACATCGTTCAGTAATTTTAAACTACAGAACAGGGGACACATTTAACAGTAATTATTTTTCATATAGCCTGTATATGTCCTGCGGAATCTGCATTTAACCGTATCTTCCAAACTACTGAACGGATCTGGGTGAATTTTGGCTATGTGCTTCATCCAGATCCCCCGGTTCTGAGGGGTTATTGCATGTTTTGGGGTCCCTTTGATATGTTTTATAATACTGTATTTTCCTGCCTGTGATAATTAAGTTAGTCCATTGTGTTGAGATCACAGGCAGAGGGGAGGATTTCTGATGTAATGAATGGTAGTGTTAGCTGTGTTGTAATGCGTTGATTGGTTGTTCTTCAAAACCCTCTGGGCAGTACTATGTTTGTAGAATGTGAATAAAAGAGGCTGTATGTGCCAGTACAGTCCGTTCTACTTCACCCTCAATTTGGAGTGCCGTCTCTTATTGGGGGAATCTGCTACAAGGGATTGCTATGCTTGTCATACTACCTTGCTAAATCACTACTAATCTCCTGTAAGAGCTTGTTCCTGCCTTGCTCTCTGGAGGAGTCTACAGTGGTTATGGTGTGGGCTGGAGTGCTTGGAGCCCTCAGGAAGCGGTAGGAGCATCCTTCAATGGGGGTACACAGTCGGGGTGCCCGTCAATCCGTTACACTCAGTGATAATGGAGGTAGTGCTTGTAGTGAAAGGTGAGGCCTCTTGATCGGATAGAAGAAGGTGATAACATTTAGGGGATAGGGGGGTGGCAGAAATAAGGAAATGGTGTTAAAAAGTTAGCACAATAAATTCTAATTTTAATCTCCCAACAAGTTCATAGTTACATGTACAGTAAATACAAATAGACTGCATGTACAGAAAATTGCATTAAAAAAGGAACTACGAAAAAAGTCAAACTGGAGAAAGAAAATAAAATGATATATAGGCACAGAGGGTGTAAACAAAAAGGCAGAATAACGGCCCTTTAATGTCTTCAAAAAAGCTGCCCTCAGAACCTCCGAGCTTGCTGGAAGTTGCTGGGGATATGGAGTTATTTGCAGTAGATGGCATTTCATTCTTACATCAATGGAGATCTGCAGAAGCATGCAATAGTATGATACATGTAGTGTGGCTCTATTACAATAAATGTGGCTATGGTAGAGTACAGATAGTAATCTGATCTATGCAAAGAATAATTAATAATTTTTAAAGGGGTACACCGAGTATTATAACCATTGCAGTAAAGAAACCTGTCGTAGTTATGATGCTAGAAGTGCCTGGTACCGTTCCCAGGGAATGGGGCAAACCATTTTGCAAAGGTTTGACTCTTATCAAGATCCCACTAATTGCTGTCGAATGAATGACATCTGGCTTCAGAAGACCGGCAGAGCCAAATGCAGGTCCTGTCAGTCATGCATTGAGCGAGAACATCAGCTGAGCGCTTTCAGCCATGAATGAGTGTCTGGTCAAGTAATATGCATAGAATTGACAATAGCTGACTAATATCTCTCGTTCCAGGGTGGCTAATGGCATTGTCAGAGATGGAGTTAGACCTCATGCAGCAATGATGTGCAGTGCTTCACATTGAAACATTGCACAAACATGCAATGCTGTATGCCAGTTTTGTTCTGCCCTGGGAATGACAGAACTCGGGCTCTCCCCACCCCCCCTTTACATTTTTCTTCTTGTTTAAAATGAACACACTTTTTGCCTGAAAGAAACACACACTCACTGATTCCTACACTGACATACACTCACGGATACGCAGTCATTGTCACATACACTGTTTAACCAACACACACTTTCACTAAAACATTCACATTTACAGACATACACCCAAACTCATTCATAGTTACATTCACTGACACACACACACACACTCACATGCACTGACATACATGTATTTACTGACAGATACAAATACACTCACTAACCAGACACACATGCACATGCACTGACAGACACACACACTAACAGAAATGCATACACATTAACTGACAGATGCACACTCAGTGTAAGAGACACACACTTTCTCTCTCTCTCTCTCTCTCTCACACACAAATACACATACACATCTGACAATGTCAGAAGAAAGAGGGAGTATAAATGTATTCCAACCCAACAGTAGGTAGGTGGTACATGTCAAAGTAACATCCACATAAATGACAGGACCCAAGGTTTCCCAGGAGAACATTGTTCAGAGCATAACACTGCCTCCATGGGCCTGCCTTTTTCCCATAATGCATCCTGCTACCATCTCTTCCTCAGGTAAATGACACACATGGACCTGGCAATCTACCTGATCTAAAAGAAAATGTGATTCATCAGACCAGGCAACCTTCTTCCAATGCTCCATGGTCCAGTTCTGATGCTTATGTCCCTATTTTTTTTAATAAATTCTTTTTTATGTATTTTGGTGGCATGAGCGAGGTTACAGAACAAAGAGAAAGCGTTAGATGGTACCATCATATACAGCAGTTACCGTATAGGTTTACAGTTGCTTAATCTATTACAGAAGGTTTGTAAATCTATGTGGAGTGTGCGCTTCTGTACCTTCACGTGCGTTAGAGATTTTCCTCCAGTTCTGAACTTTTGTGGTTCTGTGTTTGCTTTTTTGTTATTTAAAAAAAAAAAAAAGGGAAAGAGGGGGGGAAATTTTTTGTTTTCAGTTCATAAGCAGGCAGGGGGGGCACAGAATTTGAGAAGGAGGGAAAGGGACGGTTAGCATGCACATATACACATACCCATGTACACAATAGAGCCCTTTTATTGTTCAACAACCTTTCTTAACCTTGTAGTGTGTATTGTTTGCTGGGTCGGAGCAGTGTGTGGGGCCCTCAGGGGTGCCTTGTACTGTAGCCGTGTGTCGGGTTGTTGCCCTACGAGAGGTATAGGCCCCGGTAGAGCCGTGATGACCCTATGGCCCCGTGGGTGTGCCTGGGTGTGTATGGTGTCGTATGCATGCGGTGGGGGGGAGGAGAGTGGCTGGTGGGGGTGGTGTTCCCCAGGTGCCTGTGGGCTGGATTGGTGGAAGGGGTGTGTGTTCATCTGTGTGGGTCGTCATGTGACAGACGGTAATGATGGGGGGGCATGCCCCAGTTTTCGGGGAGAGAGGGGGGAGGCAGTTTTGGGTGCGGTTGTGCTTCCCGCCCACGCCTGCAGGGCCCCGGTGGGGTAGGAGAGGGAAAGAGGGGGAGTGGGGTGGAGAAGGAGGAGAAAGAGAGAGAAGAGAGAAAGGGAAAAAAAGGGGGGAGAGGGGATTGTGCTCTTGCGTCTAATCTTCTCTGGTTAGTCTGCGTCCAGGGTGTCGGCATCGGCTTCCCTGGGCAGCGTCCGTCCTGTGTGAAGTAGCATCGAGTATTTACTGGCTTCGACTGGGGGTTTATGTGTCCGTTCTTGTCTCGGTCAGTTTCGCGTGATTTGCGTCCCAAGGGTCCCATGTTCGGTGGAATGATTTGTACGTGTCGTTTATTTGTGCTGTCAACTCATCCAGATTGCGGGTTTCTTTAATTTTGCTGATTACAGTGGAGATGTGGGGGGTTCTCTGGTCAGCCCATAGCTCTGCTATTGCCCTGCGCGCCGCTAGGTTAATCCGGGCGGTTAATTTGTTTTCACTTCTCGTCAAGGAGTCTAACGGTTTGCTGAGTAGCATGGTCCACAGTTGCGTGGCGACTGGCTTGTTTAGGATCGTTTCGATGAGGCCACTGACTTCCTCCCATAGTTGTTTAATTTTGGGGCACGTCCACAAGCAATGTAGGTAGGAGCCGGCGTCGCCACATAGGTTCCAGCACCCGTCGTCTGGTTTTAGGCCCATTTTGTAGAGTCTGTGTGGTGTCAAATACCAACGGAGCATTATCTTATATGCCTGCTCTTTGTGCGTGACGCACACGGTAAAGGAGTTTGTTGCTTCCCATATAGCAGCCCAGTCATTCGGGTCTTCCGGTGCTCCCAGATCTCTTTCCCATGCAGCGATATAGGTTAGATCAGGGGTTCTCAACGTTAGTCCTCAGGACTAAGGTGTTTTTTTCCCTTTTTCTAAACACCTGAGACACACCCAGGTAATCCCCAAATCCTGGACTGGTAGGGGGTCCTGAGGACTGGGTTGAGAACCCCTGGGTTAGATTGACTAGGGAAGTGTGGGTTGTCAGGGTAGTATAGATAGCGGAGATTTGGCCTGGTTGCAGGGGGGCATCAAAGCATTGTTTCTCGAATGATGTCAGCAGTGATGTACCTGCTTGTTTAATTATTGGCCGCTGCGCCAAGTCCCGTAGTTGTATATATCAGAAGTGATCTGCTGTGGTCAAAGCTTCCGCGTTTGGGAGTTCGTTGTATTTGAAGATCTCTCCCTGTTGGTACAGGTGACAGAGCCGTGAGATGTCTCGTTGGTCGAATGCGAGGAAGTGCTTTGCTGTCATGCTAGGGGGGAAAAGTTTGTTGCGGTAAATCGGAGTCACCGGGGATAGAAAGGATGATAAGTCGTATTTGGTATTGAGTTTATCCAAAAGTGTTATTGTGTGAGTGATTGCTGGGGAGGTGGGTGGGGGGAGCGGACGGTGCATTCGGGGTACCCAAATGTATGAGGAAGGCTGGCCCCAGCCCAGGATGTCATGCTCTAGGTCCACCCAGCATTTGGTGCCGGGAGGTGCATGCCATTGCTGGAGGTGGGCTAGTTGGGCCGCATTGTAATATTATTCTTATGTCCCTATTGAATGCACTTTTGGTGCTGGACATGATTTATCATGGGCACTCTGACAAGTCTATGACAAAACAACCCCATACTCAGCAAACTGTGACACATATAATGTGACCGCAGATACGAGCCATTCGGCCAATCTAGTCTGCCCAATTTCTGAAATACTTAAGATAAGGGCAGGGACTAATTAAAGTCAAGGTTAGCCTTATGCCTATCTCATGCATGCCTAAACTCTCGCACTGTGTTAACCTCTACCACGTCACCTGGAAGGCTATTCCATGTGTCCACTACCCTCTATGTAAAGTAATACTTCCTGAAATTATTTTTAAACTTTTGCTCCTCTAATTTAAGAATATTAATTTTAATGAAAAATATGTATAGCTCTATGTGTTCTGACATTTCCACTATGTGTAGCATTAAAGTGTTCAGCAATTTGAGCTATAGTAGCTCTTTGGTTTGATCAGATGAAAATTGGCTAGCCTTCGCTCTCCATGAGCATCAGTGAGCCTTAGGCACCCATGACCCATCTTGTTAGTAACAGCCATCCAAGTACATGTATTTTACTGATGCTCCTAGAATGTTTGTAAATCTGACTAAAAACTTATTGCATTGGGGAGAGGATCTGATTTGTTGAGATTATGGAAGGGAGCTCTGTATACTTTACAACAAGGGGACTTGCGTCAAGATGCGTCTTAGATAGCTTGCCAAGTTGATAGCTCCAGGAGATAATTCAGTAGGAAATGGTCAGCAAGCTAAAGAGTACTTAAAGGACCACTCTAGGCACCCAGACCACTTCAGCTTAATGAAGTGGTCTGGGTGCCAGGTCCAGCTAGGGTTAACCCATTTTTTAATAAACATAGCAGTTTCAGAGAAACTGCTATGTTTATTAATGGGTTAAGCCTTCCCCCAAAGCCTCTAGTGGCTGTCTCATTGAGAGGCGGGGTGCATTCAGCCGGCGGGGTGGAATGGAGGAGGAGAGGAGGCAGAGAGCTCTCCGCCTAGCGCTGGAAAAAGGTAAGTTTAAACCCCTTTCCAGAGCCGGGCGGGAGGGGGTCCCTGAGGGTGGGGGCACCCTCAGGGCACTATAGTGCCAGGAAAATGAGTATGTTTTCCTGGCACTATAGTGGTCCTTTAACACAAGATAATCTTTTCTGGAAAGTAAACATTAATATAACCTAGTATAGACATCCCCTTAGAGGACCCTACGGAGACCTTGACATCCGAATCCTGGATTTCATATACAGAAAAAAAATACACTAATACAAATAGAGCAGAGACTCTAGAATATTAATTGGTCAACTGCAATTTCCATCCTCCTCAACTAGTAAGTGGGTAAAAAAGTTAAAAGAAAGTTTGTGTTTATCATTATCACAGACCCCTGTACTGCTTTCTCGCTTCTCTGTGTTTTAAGAACCACAACTGTGCATTACAGATTTACTTAAGTTACCCAAAGTAACCAGAATTTTCTTACCATCATTGAGTCCTCATATCTGTTTACACAACTTGATGACTGATGACCCCCCAGAGCTATTGTCCTCCTTTCTGAATTTGTATATTTTTAATATGCCATAACAGTGAGAGAATTAAGATTTAGCACAAATATACCTTATTGAATCACAAGATGCCATCCAAGGTGATTGTGCAGAATTATTAGCCCTTCTCAAATCAACAATGATCCATGACCCCTTGGAGCTGTTGTCCTTTGTTCTGTATTTGTAATTTTAACATAGCATAACAAGAACTCACTGATTTCATAATGTCCTGTGTGGGTTGTTTTTTTCTGGTTTTCTAATCAATGACATCATAATGATAGGTTATAAGATATTGTTCTGGTGTCCAAAATTTGTCATGCAATAAGTATCACAATAGGTAGTTTGAAAGTTTGTTACAGTAATTAAAAGGGTTCAGTGTGTATTGTATTGTTAGCAACCCTTTAACTACCAAGTTCAGTTATGCACAAATATCATTTTTGCTTGAATACATTTAATGCACATTATACTATTTAAAAGAAATAAGTTAATTTTAATATGTTATGGAGAATATTTTTGTATGAAACCATAGATCACTCTTAATGGACAGCTTAATTGTTGACCACCATTCAGCAGGCATAGCCAGCTAGACGTTCTCCACTTGTTGCAAAGCGACACCACCCATGGCAGCATAATTAGAAGTTGACATTCAGTTCACCAACAGCTGTTGATATTCCTAATGACACTTGTTAATGTAGGAAGTGTATATAAATGAAAAACCTAATGTGACTGAACGATTCAGTATCATTTTCATTGACAGCTTTTCTGAGATTCTCCCGTAATTTCAAAATAGTCTACCTTGAGTCAGGTGTGGATGGGAGTATATAATATAAAAACCATAGACTACATTCTATAAATGTGCAAGCAACGTCAGCACTGTATCGTTGATTTATATGCTGATAAATATGTCAATAAATTGTCCTTTCTTACCAATGTCATCCATAGCATTGAATTTGACTGGAAGCAGCTGGTAGTGGGTAGACACATTTCTTATTTGGGAAATAGTGCCTTAGAGAACTTCCAAATATTTTTTACACCTCCTGGTTCTAACTAGCATCAATTCTTTCCTCTATCCTTTAGCTATAATTTTAGATTTTTTGTGAGAAAAGAGGAGATCTTTCATTTTGGATAGTTCTGATGTTTTCAGATGTTTACAGGGTTTGATGACTGTTGATGATTGATAAAGTCCCTGTTTTTCTTTTTTACTTGGGACGTAGCAAGTCTTTACACCCCTATTCCTAATGAGCAGAGGCTGTTACAAAAGAGTGACTCTGATGAGTCTCAAATTGACTTTCTAAGCATCTTGGTGCTGACTTTGTACAGAAATTATTTTCTGTTTGATGATGCCATCTACAGGCAGTTCAAGGGTACTGCGATGGGTTATAAAGTAGCTCCTTCATCGGCCAATCTTTTTATGAACACCTGTGAAGACTCCTATGTCTATAGTAATTAACTATATAGGCAACACACAAAAAATTGGTGGAAGTTCATTGAGGATATTTTACCATATGAAGAGGCTGCATTGGTGACCTGGAGAGGTTCCTCTAAGAAATGAATTAGACTGATGTGAATATGAAGTTTACTATGCAATGTAGTTATGAGGTTATCATTCTTTTTTATTAAGAATCCAGTAAAATTATCCCTTTTTTTCTACTGACATGCTTACCTAATTAACTGATATTAATAGACTCCATTACAATAGCTGCCACCCTCTCCCTACTATTAAATATCAGTCATGATAAGAGTAGTCATAATTATGTCTGAAGTTTCAGTATTGGAATATATATATATATATAAAAGAAAAAAAAATCAGCACTCCCAGGTAGCTTTCTTAGGAACTTCTTTTACTAAAAAGTGTAACAGTCAAAATTTCAGTTCCAATCAGGAACTTTCATCAGGACAACCATCTCTGTTCCTGATTGGAACTGAAACGTTGACTGTTACACTTTTTAGTAAAAGAAGTTCCTAAGAAAGCTACCTGGGAGTGCTGTTTTTTTTCTTTCATACATTTAGTGCAATCAAGCACTGGGTCAAATAACTGTATGTAGGAGTGCAAGGCTTTTATTCATTTTATTTATATATATATATATAATGCAATAAGTCTGGCACTCTACCTGAAATACGAACTATAGACTTAAACCAAGGTGCTGCACTGCGCTAGATGTATATATGCAAAAAAATATAAAGATGAGCGCACTCAATAGATTTCCAATGTCAGTAGTGTATTCAAAAGTTGCCAATAAGGATCAACGTTTCGACCTTGCAGTCTTTATCAAGATGGCAATACAATGCATACCATGTGTTTAAATAATATCTGTAAATTAAGAGTAAGTGACTTACCTACTGCAGGTAAACCGAGTGAACGATTGGTTTTGCGTGCATGATGATGTAATGACGTGATGATGTGCGGAGACGGAAGAAACAATGTTGCATCCTGTAGTCATGACAACGCCAAGGGATAAACAGTGACTTATGTAGTGCTCGTAGGGGAACTAAGTGTGTGATCAACTGATATGAGAAAAGTGAAATATTAAAGAATAAAACAATAAAATATAACATGGAGGAAAATCAATAGTATAAATGGAACTGTGATTTAATATGTACCGGTGCTAAAAAGTAAAATGAAGCTAAGTGGTGAAAGAAAAATTGTCTGAAAGTGATGGGAGTGTATGGAAGATGAGTGGTGAAAAGGTGGGAAAACAAAGGCGGAGAGCCGGGAGTAATTGACTGTGTAAAGTGAAGGTGCTGGGTGAAAACAAAATAAAATAAAGTGAAAGAAGTAACCAACACTGGGAAAATGTGATAGACAATAACTGACAAATGAAGTGAAGGAAAAAGAAAGAGAGAGAATGATATGCTAGGAAATTAATAATGTACAGTGAGAGTGCTGAGTGTGATGAGAGTGTGAATGAGAACAGTCCCACAATAATATTATGAAATGTAAATAACATAAACATAAAAAGTATGCAAGATAATAAAAAGCATATGACAAATATACAAAAAAAACAAAAAAAATAACAAAAAAACACTGATAAAGAGAGACAAGGTAAATCTGCAAATATAACAAACCTATGATGAATGCAGCATTAAGTATTAAGTTATAAAGTAAATAAATAAGTCACTTACTCTTAATTTACAGATATTATTTAAACACATTATATGTATTGTATTGCCATCTTGATAATACACTAATGACATTGGAAATCCATTGAGTGCACTCATCTTTATATTTTTATAGATAGATAGATAGATAGATTACACAAGCATTGAGGCATTTTACAAAGAGTTCATCCTAGCATTCAGGAATTTCAAAACATCCCTCTTTGTTTTTATAAAAGTAAAGGTAGTATTAGGGACATGCTCATCTAAGCGGAAGTAGATCTACTTATACCCAAACCTCAGTGCTTTTTACCAACACCAGCTTTTGGAAGTTTCGCTGTCTGCTATTTTACATCTGATTTTAATTTTTCATTTCGTGTTTTAATTTCGTGATTTAAACCCGAAAATACCCTTGATGTTTGCTGTTTGCTGTTTGTCATGGAGACAACCATGAGGATTAAAGATCGTATTGCTGGTTATAAAAAGACAATTAGAACTAGGAAGACTGAACTAGCAGTCCAAGACCATTTAATTGCTGTAAATTATACTATGTCACAGCTCGGGTATTAGATAATTGATTACATACCCCCTTTAAAAAGAGGGAGATGATATGGTGAAATTATTTAACATAGTGTAAAGTATTGGATTTTCACCCTTAAAACCCTGTAAACAAACTGCTAAACAGAAAATTGGATCTTAGTGTATTTCAGTGACTTATTATTAATGGGTTTCTCCTTTTCCCTCCACAGTATTCAGTTTTCTCAAACAGAGTAACATAGCTCTTTCTTCTCAGTTTTTCATACAATCTGCTGTATTACAGAGAGAATTGGCATATTATGTCAAATCCTAGTGCCCACTGTCTGTGATACAGAGGTAGAAGGTAGAATGAATTATATGTCCCAATGTGAATCACAACTTTCTTGCTTGGTCACTCTAGATCAAGCATGTCAAACTCAAAGGCTAACATGGGCTAAAGAAATAAGGTTCAAGTTTATGTGGGCTCAAAAAAAAAAGAGTTTGACCTAGACCAACACAAACTAAACTTACTTGTATCATTCTCATGCAAACAATATGTAATCCTGGGTACATACATATGATATATTCAAAAGCTTTACTTCAAGTTACTTACTATCTCAGTAGTAATGCCACTGTCTGGAGTGTCCCATCCGCTCGCCCCCCAATCCCTCTGCAATCTCCAGGCAGAGTAAGATGTAGCTGCACACTCCACTCTGCTCGCTTCTACCCCCTTTCCATTCATATCTCTTCTTCCCCCTCCATCCATGTCTCTCTCCCCCTCTATCCATGTCTGTTTCCCTCCATGTCTCCCCCATGTCTCTGTCCTACCTTCCATCCATGTCTCTCTCCCCTGTCCATACATGTTCCCCTTCCTTCCATGTATCTACCACATCCATGTCTCTCTCTCACATCCATAACTCTCTCCCCTCCCATCTATATTTCCCTTTCCCTTCCCTCCATTTCTCTCCCCCTTCATGTCTCTGTTCCCCTCCCTTCCATGTCTCCCTCCCCTTCAATTTCTCTCTCCCCAGTCCATCCTCCCCTCTCCCTTCCATGCATTTCTCTGTTTCCTTTCCATCCTTATCTCACTCCCCCATCCATCAATTTCTCCCTACCTTTTCCATCCATGTCTCTCCCCTACATCTCTCCCCCATGTTTCCCTCCCTTCCATATAGCTCCCCCCACATCTCCCTCCCCCTTCCATCCATGTCTCCCTGGAAAAGTGATTTTTTGCACCCCCTCGACAGGCGCCCCCTATTGGCCCCAGATTGGTTGGGCTGTTGGTTTCCCAGGAGTGCTCTAGATCATTAAAGAAACATTCAAAGCACCATAACCACTACAGCCATCCCAGGGTAAATAGTCAATCCACTTGCTTCCATTAGCTCTTTAGCAGGTCTGGCTGAGAGCTTAAGCTGTATGATCTCAGTATGTTTTTCAACTAATGAGCTAAGCCAGGAGTAGGTAGATCTCCAGATATTGAAGAAATACAATGTATTACAACATAAGATTGGCATACAACGTAAGATTGGCAAAGCATCATGGCAGTTGCAACATCTGGGGATCAAAATTTTGACCAGTGCTATGCTAAGTCCTGTACCACTGAGCTTAACTCCAGGGGCAAACAGTTTGACTACTTGCCATGGGATTGCACCAAGACAGTCCTGACACTATAACCACTACAGCAGGCTGTAGTTATTATTAAGCTTGGATTATTCCTTTAAGGAAAAAAGGCTATCCAGGATGGGAATCATGAATGCTGACATGTTATCAACAATCTATAATTGGCATGAATACTATCTTCCATGTGCCTTTCATGGGGGGAATTGTAACACTAGAATGAACATTTGTATAGCATTTATAAAACAATGAACACTATCAACAATATTTGTTGGGTGAAAAATACTCTAAAATGTGGCAGTTCATCAAAAAACATAATCATTATCAGGCATTCGAGGTTGGTAAATAGGAAAAACATTATTGATATATTTTATCTGTATCAAGAAAAAAAAGAAAAAAGAAAAAAATATCTCATAGATTGCACTAACAGCGTTAGAAAAATAGTTGGAAAATGTCATCAGAAGTCAATATTGATTGAACTAAAATGCTTACGATAAAGTCCATTTGACCTTGTTTTGCGTGTAAGAATAGTATTGCCTAAATAAGGAAAGTTGACAAACAAATTAGTTTAGTAACACCTGTAATACCTTTGTTTATTCCCATTCCTCGGTACAATATAAAAGGGCATTTATCCTTACATTTTTACTGACTTGTAACATTACACGGATAAGAATGTTGAGACTTCTTACACTAGCGGCACTCGTCCTCTGTGGTAAGTTTTATTTTCTAACCTATTTTGGGTATACATATGACCCAAAGGGTAGGTATCCTGAAGATGACTTGTATGAATAAAGTAGCAACATTCAATCACTTCTATCAATTCAAAATTTAGATAATATAGTGAACAAAGCTTTCAGGTAATTAACTCTTTTATAGTTGGTCCATTAAAAAAAATTATGTGTATTATGTGATTGTACCACATCATCAAATATATATATATATATATATATATATATATATATATATATTTTATTCTAAAAATGTTACTTTCTTCTGAAACATTATATGTATGCATAGCACAATATGACATATGAACAAGAGATTAATACAATAGAAAACATTAAAAAAAGTATGTGTTTATATTAATTTTTATATAGATAATTACCCTAAAACAAATAAAAAAACTAAAAATAGATTAACTTTATATTTCTGATTGGTAAAATGGTGCATGTTTCCAAGATTTAACTTTTATTTTGATGCTACCAGACAAATATTGCAAGGAGTGAATTAGTTTTAAAGCTAAATATTTGCAAAATGTGGCCTACCCAGAATATAATTTTAATATCAGACATGTTTTCCAAAACTAGACACATAATGTATTTAACTAAAAGCATTTTGAAACTTTTCATTTCATCAATGTATCACTACCAGCTTCTGCCAAATCTGATGGGTGCATTTAATGTTTGTGTTTTTAATGGGAAATGTCACAGTCCATGTGTAATCCACTACTGTAAAGACGATAGTTCTGTATTCTGCTACTGATTCTGAGTACAGCAAGACTTCCATACAGACTTCTGTCAGATCTTAGATATTACAAAGGCAAATTATAGACAATCTAATCATAAATAATTGCCAACTGCACACCAAATACTTATATATTAATATTAATCATCACATTAAAAAGTCAATTAATATATGCACACATATCTAAATGAAAGTGTAAATAACAATATATGTTGGATATTTAAAGGAACACTGTAGGGTCAGGAACACAAACATGTGAAACCAACATCTAGCCCCCTCTCACCCCTGTTGCTCCCTAAATATAGTACAATCATACTTGTATTCAAGTCTGCTGCTGCTGGCTCTGCCTCTGACCTGTCTGCATGCCCAACAACCACAGAAGCAGATCATGGCCAGAGCCAGCACAAGCCAAACACAGCCCTGGCCAATCCTTATAGATATACATTGAATCAATGCATCTGTATGAGGAATGTTCAGTGTCTTCATGCAGAGGGTGGAGACACTGAATGGCAGTACTGCACAGTGTACAGCACTGCCCCAGGAAGCACCTTTAGTAGCCATTTGAGGAGTGGCCAATGGAGTTATCCCTAGACTGTAATGTAAACACTGCATTTTCTGCAAAAAGCCTGAAGGGAATAATTCTACTCACCATAACACATAGAATAAGCTGTAGTTGTTTTGATGACTACAGTGTCCCTTTAATTCAGTACACAAGCCAAAAAATACCAAATGTGCAAAAAGAGTAAATGCAAGAATAATACATATGACCAAAGAGTATAAATCTCCTTTGCCAAACAAAAAATGCATAGAGTGTTTTACCTCGCCTGGTAGTTGGGACTCAGGGCATGGCACAACTAACACACAGCATTTCAACCTGTTGGCCTTACTGAAGGGCAATGAGTATTCCTGCTGAGGGCATTTATATAGTATAATTTATGATGGAATATACTATAGAAACACCCTCAGCAGGAATACTTGCATTTACTCTTTTTTGTATGATCTTGTTGCACATTCTGTATTTTTTGGCTTCTGTACAATGTTACATATTCAGCATATATGTGTAGTAATACCTTCATATAGATGTGAGTGTATATATATAAAAAAATTTTTTTAATGTGATCAAGTATTTGGTGTGCAGTTGCCAATTACTATTGTTTATGACCACTAGGGGAGTGGTTGTCAAACTTTATTGTACCCTGATGGCATGTTACATGCTGCATTTTTGCTATATAATGTGAGACATTTTCTAAGCCTAACAACCGTAATGCTAACTCTAGCCCTAGCTGAAGCTAACCTTAACTAATCCAAACCCCTATCTAATTTTAGCATTAGTGTACCCTAACCCTAGCTAAACCCAACTAACCCTAACTCTAGCTTTCTCTAACTCTAACCCTAACACCAATCCTGACAATTAACTCATTAGTAGTTTGACACTCACGTGGAGTGATCACTGTAATGGCCAACTAACAGATTATCCCAGTTATCTCAGAGTTCTATAGTGTGTGGTAGTCATCTGGATGTTAATGAGGAACCTCATGTGTGATCATGCCTAGTAATAACAAGTCCACCTCTCCATCAAGTGTTAGACATAGCGATCGTGGGGGTTGCTGTCTTTGCAATTTCTTGCATTGGGGAACCACCATTTTGTTATTTCTTTGATAACAAAGCCACTTAGTGGGTTTACATGATAGTGGGTTTAAGTGATGGTTTTATACTTTGTACGGTACCTATACTCTATTGGCACATCGGCTATATGGAAAGCTTACTACAACTTTGAATGATTATAAATACAAGAATAAATATATCTATACATTTTGCGGTTATTTCAAATTCTTACAAAAACATAGCTGATTTGGGAACATTTTCTAATTTACAATTTCTAATTCATATTTCGATTGTCCACAATTCAGAGATAAGAGAATAACCTGTGTATATGAAAGCTGAATTTTATGAACTAGATTTCAACCCAGAACTCAAATATGAACTACAAAAACACCCCAAAAAACCCATATAATTGCTTAATGAACCAGGGAAATTCCAAAGGGTATATCTAACAATCGGCAAATAAAGACATTTGCCATATTATAAACAGTAACATTCTAGCTTACTTTTTATCCTTCCAAAGGACAATGCTTTGATGATGTGCAGTATGTGGAGGGAAATACTCGTGTGGTAGGAGGATCAAATGCTAAACAAAATGCCTGGCCATGGCAGGTAAGTTATTATATATATATGATAATACAAAGTCATACATCCAATAGTGAGCACACAGCAAAATACTCATGCATATCTATAGAATGAAACCTCCTTACGTAATATCTTGTCTACAGGAATCTAGAATAAAACACAAAGATACTCTGTATGGAACATATATTATAAAGTAGGAAAAAAATAAAACTCACAAGTGCAAAGCTGTTTCAGGCTCTATTGTACTGATCTTAACATGTATAGCTTGGGGAAAGATGAGAAAGGGATATGATAGAAACATTTAAATATATAAAGGGAATCAATACAGTAAAGGAGGAGACTATATTTAAAAGAAGAAAAACTACCACAACAAGAGGACATAGTCTTAAATTAGAGGGACAAAGGTTTAAAAATAATATCAGGAAGTATTACTTTACTGAGAGGGTAGTGGATGCATGGAATAGCCTTCCAGCTGAAGTGGTAGAGGTTAACATAGTGAAGGCGTTTAAGCATGCGTGGGATAGGCATAAGACTATCCTAACTATAAGATAAGGCTAGGGACTAATGAAAGTATGTAGAAATATTGGGAAGACTAGATGGGCAGAATGGTTCTTATCTGCCGTCACATTCTATGTTTCTACATGCTCAAAGGTGCCAATTCAGACTAAGATACCCACAGAAAGGAGGGATTCTGGAATCATTAGGATAAAAATCCATTTATTAATTCACAGTTGAAATGTAAAAAAATGCATATTATTAAAAAAATGCTACTTTTATTGATGGGAATTATATGTTTTATTCCTAATCATCGCTAGCTCACTGGAAAGAAAAACTGTGAAAAATAAGTGAAACAAAATAGTGTATATAAATGAAAATACAAAAAGAATCCTCTGTTGTGCAACCTAGCAACAACAAATGCAACCAAGTGAAATAAATAAAAATAGTAGATGAGATCTTGATTGTAATTCAATCACCAAACCGATAATCAATATATGACATGGATTATGGCTGTAGAATACAACAATATTTTTCCAAAGTATTCCTTTTAGAAAGGGTCACAATAAATAATAAAATAGACTATACATAGTGAAATATCGTAACATAAAATGAAGGTGAGAAGTGGGTATATATCACTAGAAGTGCTGATGTACCTATTTAACTCTTTTCATCTTGAAATGAATTCAAGTATTAAAGGGACACTATAGTCACCTGAACAACTTTAGCTAAATAAAGCAGTTTTAGTGTATAGATCATTCCCCTGCAATTTCACTGCTCAATTCACTGTCATTTAGGAGTTAAATCACTTTGTTTCTGTTTATGCAACCCTAGCCACACCTCCCCTGGCTATGATTGACAGAGCCTACATGAAAAGAAAAACTGGTTTCACTTTCAAACAGATGTAATTTACCTTAAATAATTGTATCTAAATCTCTAAATTGAACTTTAATCACATACAGGAGGCTCTTGCAGGGTCTAGCAAGCTATTAACATAGCAGGGGATAAGAAAATCTTAATTAAACAGAACTTGCAATAAAGAAAGCCTAAATAGGGCTCTCTTTACAGGAAGTGTTTATGGAAGGCTGTGCAAGTCACATGCAGGGAGGTGTGACTAGGGTTCATAAACAAAGGGATTTAACTCCTAAATGGCAGAGGATTGAGCAGTGAGGCTGCAGGGGCATGTTCTATACACCAAAACTGCTTCATTAAGCTAAAGTTGTTCAGGTGACTATAGTGTCCCTTTAATACTTGAATTCATTTCAAGATGAAAAGAGTTAAATAGGTACATCAGCACTTCTAGTGATATATCAAGAGTCCACATAAAATTGCAAGATAGGAATGCCACAGGATAAAATACAAACATCAATTAATATAAAAAGTAAAAAGAAAATCAGGGATATCTTTAGTCTGGAAAAGGTTCTTCTTATATTCTTATATAAAGTTTCTAATCTGCGGATTATTCTCGCTACTTGTGTCAAACTTCCTGTGTGCATTCCATTGTGGAACGCATTAATTCCACTTGTTTTTTTCTGAAATTAGTGGATCCATAATCCAGGTCGTATAATGATGACTGGTTTGGTCAAGGAATTACAGTGTACTATTTTTATTTATTTCACTGAGTGGACTAGCCATCATTCAAAATCTTCAAGTGTTACACGTGTTCCAGTGAATAGTGCAAGAATAGTTAAATAACCAATTAAATAAAAGAAGTGCTTTTATTATAACGTGAAGTGCAATTTCATTGACTTCAAAAAGTTTCACGAAAATTCCCATCACAATTTAGGCATATTTCAGTTGCTTTTAGAGTGAAGTAGTGTCCAGGTGCCTTCTTACCTTCAGTTGTTAACCTATCAGTTGGCATACACCAAAACAACTCTACAAGTTTGAGGTTTGACTATTGCCAAATAAGCTTGAGTTGCCAAAGTTTTGAGAGTGTCCCTTTAACATACATAGTATAGTAAATACTTAAGTAATGTAAAAAGCTTTTTTATGATGTATTTGCTTTCCCTCATACAGATTTCCCTCCAGTATCAGTCTGGAAGCAGCTGGTATCACACCTGTGGAGGTTCTCTGATCCGTGTTAACCGTGTCCTGACCGCTGCTCACTGTGTAGACAGGTATCAGCATTAGAAAAATAAATCTTAATTAATAACCTTTTAAGTTAAGATTATTGGGTGTCTCATAATATTTGAGTTGCCATAATAGTCTAGTAATCTTGATGCAAAATACCGTAATTAAGTATTGCAGTTTCTTGTAGTATGCTCTTTTGGATTAACAGAAATTTGTAGTGACAAGCTTTTGGGAGTTCCTCGCTTTCAGGGCCGGCACAACCATAATGTGACACAGGTGGCAGCCTTATGGTGCAACAGCCCACTGGTCACAATGTCCAGGTGGCAGGATGGGAGAGTACAGCACTGCACTCTTCCTCCTGCCAGTCACTAGTAGCATGGTCGAGTGGACCAGGTTTGAGACTCTTCTGTAATTGACAGAGGTGGATAAATGGACACATAGCTGGGGGGAATAGACGGACAAAGAGACAAGGTACTAGAAGGGCAGACAAAGACACAAGGTGCTGGAAGGGCAGACAAAGAAACAAGGTGCTTGGAAGGGCAGACAAAGAAACAAGGTGCTGGGGGAGATAAATATATAAAGTGCTGGGGGGACTGGGAGACACAGTGCTGTGGATTGGGTGGACAAAGAGGATGACAAAGTACCGGGGGAGAGAGATACATGAAGCGGTTTGGGGAAATACGAAATACACTAAGAGACTGGGGGAAAGTAAGAGAAACAAAGGTGGGTAAGCCACACAAAGGCAAAATGGAGGATAATTTATACTAAAGTAGGCTTTGTAAGAAACACAATAGGGGGTAAGAATTTCAAAAGAGGAGTTAAGCCGGGGCGGCAAAATGCATCTTCACCTATGCAGCTAGTAATCCTTGCACTGGCCCAGCACCCTTTTTATAAAGTCTAAAGCATTTTTGTCCACTTGTCTTTATGGTTCCACAAAGAACCATAAAGACAAGTAAAAATGTATCTTCTTTTCTTTTTTGTTATTCTTTATTTATACTCAAGCATATTTTAGAATAAGTACTGACATATAAAATGGACCATAATACAGTAACCTACATCAGAATATAATGCACAGTGATGAATTATCCCCTAAACTGAGGGTTTTCATATAAATGAAGCTTAAACTATAAGCTGAATGGACATATTAGTTGCTGGCAGCATGACATAATGATAAGTGATAATCGCCGGAGCGCAAAATCTGTACATCATCAAGCTTCCACTACTGCATGGGTATGGCCGCCAACGGACGGGTGAGAGAGGATTATCTTCTTTTCTTAAAAAGAATAGAAATGAAAACACATATTAACTCGTATAGTTTAACAAATTAAATGCAGCTTTTATCTATCAGAGAAAACAATGTATCTGGAGTATGCTATAACGAAATCCTTGGTATTTAAATTAGAACAAAGAAACAAGCGTTCACCTTAGCCAATCCATAGTTTAGAAAGGCTAATCCATTAGCCAAAGGTCGGAGCCCTAAAGAACAGTATGCCAGCAATCAAATCAGAATACGAAATAGGTATAAGACAAAATCTGAGGTTAAATTAAGGTAGTACTTTCGGACACCTCCCTATTTAATTGTGGGAGTCAGTAATCTGGAAAGAAAAAAGGTTGAGTGGTACAATAATCACAGCAGTACGACAGTGAACTGAACAAGCAGATTTAAATATCAAGTATTACTGTCAGTGCAGTAATGCTTTGCACTCAAAGACACAAAAGTGAATTTGTTAATTAAAGAAACAGAGTTAATTCTATGATCCCTGATTTGCATTTACACATGCAAACATTAACGATGTACAGCATTAATACACTGTGAAAAGAAATAACTTTTTAAAACAATTAGACTCTATTATTAATAATTAAAGGAAAACTCTACTCACCAAACCAATTTTCAGTCTCACTGCTCAATTCTCTGCCATTCACTTTGTTAATGCAACCCTTAACACAATCCTCTGCCTTTCAGTCTGGAGAATGAGATGTATGTCAGTTGTGACCTATGATATGTCACATAATAGCTACCAATTAGTGGTAAAACTCCATTGCCTTCATATTTAAAGATTCATTTCCTAACTTGTTTTACAGAACTGTTCCCTTCCGTGTGTCTCTGGGAGATCACAACCTGAGTACAAATGAAGGAACTGAGCAGGTCATTTCTGTATCCAAAATTGTAAAACATACTGGCTGGAATTCCAACAATGTGGCAGCTGGGTAAGATATAAATCAAACACTTATATAGATGGCTCTTTAATTAGATATCCCATAAGCTGTATTCCTAACACTATGGTGCCTCTATTCCATTTTACATAGATACGATATTGCAATCCTTCAACTGGCCTCAAGTGCCACCCTGAACAACTATGTAAAGCTGGCAACACTGCCCAGTGATGGCTCTGTCCTCTCCAACAACCACCCTTGCATCGTTACTGGTTGGGGCAGAACCACAAGTAAGTGTCATCTGTGAAATAGAGGTTCAGTAATTTCTTTTTTATTGTCGTAGACATGGCCAACACATCGTAAACACTCATTTTGGAACATATTTTGTATATATACCTAAAAAGCTGCAGAGGTTCTACATTAATACATCATAATTACGACATAAATCTAGGATGTCTGCTTGGAGTATTGTTTGGGGATAATACCTAATAAAAGGTATGCTAAGCCCCTCATGTTTGAATAAATGTGATTTGCAAAGTCTCTTCTGTACCACAAAGAACCCAACAATTTCAGCCACATGCAGTTCTAGTAGGCTTTAACCACTACCACAACAAGAGTACATAGTCTTAAATTAGAGTGGCAAAGGTTTAAAAATAACTTCAGGAAGTATTATTTTACAAAAAGGGTTGTGGACACATGGAATAAACTTCCAGCTGAAGTGGTAGAGGTTAATACAGTGTATAAGCATGCGTGGGATAGGCATAAGGCTATCCTAGACTTAAAATAAGTCTAGGATAGGCATAAGGCTATCCTAGACTTGAAAGTATTTCGATAATCGGGCCGATTAGATGGGCCAAATGGTTCTTATCTGCCGTCACATTCTCTGTTTAAATGTTCTTTCTCTTGGATGCAATGCCCATCTCAAGCCATCATTGTTCACCAGGGTTTCCGTCCTCTATCTCCTGGATCAATGAGGTGACTTAGTAGTTAGCAGAACAGAAATCATATATCTTGAGTCTTCACTTCCAGTGCAAACACATTTCCTTTGCATTGTAATCAATGTAATATGCATCCAAAGGCTACTTATGGTACTTTTGAGGTTTAACCAAATAATGTTATATGCTAAAATGTAATGGTATTATTTCTCGAAATTATCCTGTAGCTATTGTTTAATGGTTTCATTTCCCCATAGCTGGTGGATCCCTTCCCTCAATCCTCCAGCAGGCCCCTCTGCCTGTGGTCGCCCACTCAACCTGCTCCACCAGTTCCTACTGGGGCAGCACCGTCAAGACCACCATGGTGTGCGCCGGTGGTGATGGAGTAACTGCTGGATGCAATGTAAGATATTTTAAAGTTAAATATTAACAACCTTTTAATAACCCTGCCGATGAAATAATATCTATGATGCTTAGCCACACATTAGAAATGGTTATGTTTGCTGAATAACACTTAATTCTTAGTATATTCAGGAAGCTACAAAGTTTTCTTTCAATAAACTCCCTGCTTTATAATCATATTGACACTTGTATAGCATTAATAGCCAATAAAAACAAAAATTAACCATAAACCCACCACATAATCTGGCAAAGTATTGTGGGGATTGCTACTCTATGAAAATCGTCCTATTAGTTAGTGTTGATGTTTAAAATCAATTTACATTGTGTATATATATTTTTTTCATTTATTTCAAACTTAGGGAGATTCTGGCGGACCTTTGAATTGTGCGGTCAGCGGAGTTTACCAAGTCCACGGTATTGCTAGCTTTGTGTCCTCTCTTGGATGTAACGCCTACCTCAAACCAACAGTGTTCACCAGAGTTTCTGCCTACATCTCCTGGATCAATGCTGTAAGTTATTTCCCCAGAACAGAAACATTTCATATCCTGAGTACACCCAGTATGAACTTCTTCTCATTCTTTTCTACCTTATAATATAAATATATATTATATAGTGCAATATGCAGCCAAATACTACTATCTGTACATTTATTTTTTTAACTAATATATATGCCATGTGTGGAACGTAAAAATAATGAACTAGATGTTAAATATTAATGGTAAATGTTCTTTCTCTCTTTTTTCCCAGAATGTCTAAAGTGCTTTGATATGAAAACTACTTTGAAACTTATTTGAGAACATCTTTAAAAAACATTTTGTTAAATTTTATTTTGCAAGCAACATCCTATTAAAGAAAAAAAATATGCATTTTGTTGCAGTGGTCATTCAACATTGTCAAGTCTTTTGTTAGATGTTTGCAGTTGGTATGTAGCTCAAGTAGTATTTACTAAGTTCCTTCCAGAATTGTACATTCTGCCAATGGGATGCTTCCGAGAGAAGGATTAAAAGGCACATAGCCCTTCTGCTGATTTTCATTCCAGGAATAGGAATAAAAAATTACCTGAATGACATGCCTGAGTGACCATTGTATTTCCTTTCAATAAACTACACTGGACTATATTTCTCTTTTTTCATAATTTTTTCAGTTTTTTGACACCAGCTTACTAATTGCTCTTATAAGAAAACAAATAGTAGAGCAATCTGAAGTAGAGCAGGGCTGCCATCAGAAATTGTGGGGCCTCTTACATAGTTCAAGGTCTGGGCCCCCACAGCCCACACTGGAGTCTATCCATAAGGCCCACTTATTAACTGCTTTTGTTTTTGTAAACATATTTTTTTCTATACAAAAAAACTGACCTCGGTGAGTGAATCACAAGGAAACTATCACAGATCCGTATTGGTTGCATGGTAATTTTAGGGCATAACTCAGTGTAGATATCAATAGCGAGATTGGATCAAGCCTCAAAAAAGAGGACACAATTTTTTTTTTTTTTAACATCATTCACTTTTTTTGTTGAATATCTACTTTTTTATGGGTAATGTCATTGGTATCGTGTCCTCTCTTTTGAGGCTTGATCCAATCTCTCTATTGGTATTTTTTTTACTACCTTTTATTAAATGTTAACTATGGAGTTTTGAAGATAATAGCTGACTATTTTAGCAGGATTAAAATTCAAGTTAAGTTTTAATTTTATGCAACTTCTTCCTTGGTCTCTGACACATCCATTCTCCTCAACACAATCAATTATATCAGTGTGCTAAATCAAATTGCACCAGTCACGCAAGATCCATAAGAATGAAACAATGTTTCCACATTGACCTGCTGTTTGAGAAATCTGTATTCCTAACACTATGGTGCCTCTATTCCATTTAACATAGATACGATATTGGAAGTATTATTTAAAGAAACAGAGTTAATTCTATGATCCCTGAAATGCATTTATACATGCATTTACACATTACAAAGCCAAGTTCCGAGTTAGCGCTGTCGTATGTTTGAGAAATCATTATTATCAAATCTTTCAGAATATGTAGGTATTCTGCTGCAACCATCTTTATGTAGGTTTAAATCCTATTTAAGAAAAAAAATGTGATGTGCAGTCATTGTACACTACCATCTCACGATATTGACCATCAGTTAAGAATAATTTGGAATAAGAAAATATTGAACTTCAGACATAATTAGATTTTCTTATTGATGAAATCAAAATCCCTTTCCTACACAATTTCCTATAAATTTCCTTCCTCTACATAAACATGGCATGGTGATGGGCACCAGGTTTGCACCAAGCTATTCTAACCTCTTTACAGTTAAATGTAAGTATACTGGAAGATTATGCCACAATTGTGAACATGGTGTCCTTCCACAGTTATGTAGATGATGTAGTCTTTAATCTCAAATGGTCTAGTAAAAGTTCTTAATCTATTTACAATATGTAAACAACAATAGAGGAAGTAAACTAACATCAGAATACTGTATTGCAAACGATGGGTTAATTTGTTAGATGTAGAAATATATATTAATTAAGGCAATATAAATACCAATTTTTTTAAAACAAATCTCCATACCAAGATTTTTTAATGACCATTCTTTCTTCCATTCTCACTCACATTCTACAATATATAGATTAAAATAATAATGAGGATACATGCATTCCTCTACTGTGTTAGACTATATAAAAAAAAACTCAGAAAAAAAGCCACACATTGAAAGCTCTAATCTGCATAAACCTCATGCAAAGTGGACTGACCCAAGATGTGGGTGGCGCCTAGCTCTCGTGAGGGAACGCATGTGCGGCCTGCGATGGCACCTCATAGCTCTGTGGAGCAATTCTTACATCGGCTCAACGAACATTTCCAATACTTTTGGCCAGAACTGGAGAGCCTGATGCTGCCTCAATTGCGTGTGGAAGTTCCGAGGGGTGAGAGCTGGAGAACGCGGAAGTCTCCCTCAGGCCTAGCTGATAATGGCCTGCCAAGGGCTTGACCCCAAGACATCACCCGCATCGACGGAGGGTCTACCGCCGCAAGCTGTGGCAAAACACCGGGACCCCACCGCTACTCCCGGTCTGGGAGGGACTTGGCCCTTCAGAGGTATCGGGTCCTTTGCTCGAAGATGTCGGCCTTCATACCGGCCTGGGGCTGTAAGGTGGACTTACCTCGCTCCCAACAAAACCGCCACCTCTGAACATTACTCTGCTGCAAATGAAGGCTTCCCATGCCTGGGAATCTGCTAAACCGGGACTTGCTGGGGTCACCTACCATTACTAGATACCTTCATGTCTGTGCCATGCTTGTTTAGCCTGTGGTGGTTACCAGCACATTGAGCCCCTTCGCCCAATCCAAATGTATTACAATGTTCTATGTTGTGTGATGCAAAGACTTAAATGTGTTATCCTTGTATGTACACAGTGGGGCATCTTCAGATGCTACCTTATACATAAATTAACCCAATTAAACCCTCCCAATAATGACAGACAACTAGTATGGATGAAACAGGCCACAGCATTTATTATAACATAAATAAATAAATACTGCATAACACATCCATAACTTTATTTATTCAAAATCTTCTTTCTGTAACCAAAATTGTTAAACATAAATAAGCATAAATTAACATATATACATATATAACATCCACGCTCAATGGGCACGATACCTCAGGCAACCTAAAGTTAACCGTTTAAAGCAGGGGAGGTTGAGACTTGCCAACTTATTAACTCACTCCAACTGCCCTAAAAACATAACCCCACAAACTTAATTGGCAAGGACATACCCCCGCCACCAAACCCGCTGTTTTACCCCCTAAAATCAGTGGGACACCCCACCAAAACCATCCAGGGCCTGTTCCACCGCATTCTGCAGAGCGAGATTGAAGAGGTCGAGCCCGACCTCCGTGAGGTAAATACCATCCGCCCGAAAAAAATTGGCCGCCTCACGTTCAAAAACCCTGTGGCGGACCGGGATTCCCCGAACCCCCGAAACAAACTGGGAAACCTGCATGTTTAACTTGCAGCGGCACCGCTCCATAGCACTCTGGCTCCGGGCACCCCGCCAGTGGTTACGTGCTATGACCTCAGACCATATCAACCGCACATTGGGGAACAAAACTAAAATGCGGGCTAAATCCCGCTTGACAGCCGAAATCAAGTCCCAATGGGAACGGAACCCAGGTCATTCCCCCCAAGATGGATCACCAGGACACTCGGTACCCCCAGGAGACGGGACAGTTGCACCAACTCCGGGAGTAGCCGAACCCACCTCATACCTCTCGAACCAAGCCACCTGACCTCAGCGTCGGAAGGCGTGAAACCCAACCGCTCACCTCCAGCCCAGTATACATACGAGTGTCCGATGATCCAGATCCTGGGGGGGGGGCTGAATCTTCAGAAAGAAATTATGTCAATAGACCAGCCGGACAAATATAAGAAACATAGTGCCTCAAATCCCACCTCCCAATCCTCTGCACCACCTGCGCTGGCATGCCAAGCCTCAAGGCCTCAGTGGCCGCCCCAATACGAAAAGAATGCCCCCCGAACTCTTTGCTGTCCAAAACCAGGGATTTCAAACCCAAACGAAACACCCTGAGAAACTGGAAATGGGAAAGAAAACTACCATTCTCATGCACCAGTAGGGGCAACGCAGGAGAGGTGCGCAAGGTACAATACTCCCTGAAGGACAAAACAGTACAAACGCCAGAGCCCGGCACCACCCTCAATCGAACCCATATACCCCTCCCCAAGACATCCATCTGGATTTGACAAAAAACAAAAAACATTAAATACAAAAATGTAAAAAAAGCTTGGACAGGTCAAAACTTTTTAAAATACTAGAAATACTAGAAACAAAAAAAACCTAACCTCGAAACTCCAATTCCAGGGTGTATCAGTGCAAATTTTTACTTGTTTCTTTTTTTTGTAATATTTGTAAGATTTGTAAATTAATACATATGTTTAATAACATTTTTTCTTTCTTTTTTTGTAATTTTTGTAAATTAATACATACGTTTAATATATTTTTTTCTTTCTTTATCCAGTTTTTTATATTAATAGTAATATTTATTGTTCTTTAAAAAAAAGTAATTTACCATATGACCCTGTCCTTTCACTATTATTACTACAGGTTAGGTATATCAGGTTAGGTATACCAGGTTAGGTATATAAATCCTTACATAAAAAGGTACTTTAGGGTTCTCGTAATACTCCTCTTTTATTTCACATGACCATTTTTTTCTATTTCATTCTTTTTAAAAATTTTTATAGATTTAATTTATAAGGTTCACCTTTGCACTCTTCTTTAGTTTCTGTAAGGTGGAAATTTTTTGCAATTTTTGTTAGTTTCTTATGGTCACATGACCTTGGTTTCTGTTGTATGTCTTGAGGCTGTTGGGTGTGCTTGAAAAAATGCCTGAAAATTCAAATGAGACAATACATTATTATAGACTCCTGGTACATGTACGCTTATTAAATAAAAATGTTATTTTGCTGCTAACCGTGACAGTTTTCTTATGAATTTCATAATAGTCAAAGACTGTGATCAGAATTTGCTGACTATGAAATATGTGGCTTGTGATTATCAGACAAGCATTTAACACTCTAACCACACCATAAGTGGCAGGTTTGGGCTGCTGCTATAATGGGGTATATTTCAATAAGAGTTGATGTGTATTTAAAGGCATCTATAACTTTGGCTTATGTTGGTCAAGTGCCGCACATCCATTCATTGTTGTGAATTGCCATAAAACCAGTTGAGGATGTG